GAGTTATTTTGAGGGGACAGCAAATTTACACTGTTATACAAGCTGTGCACTCACTACTTTACATTGTAGCAAAATGTCATTTCCTCAGTGTTGTCACATGAAAAGATATAATAAAATATTTACAAAAATGTGAGGGGTTTACTCACTTCTGTGAGATACTAATATATATATATATATATATAAAATACACATATTATTATAGTTATTATCAATTAAAATATATTTAATTCTATTATTCTAATAACTATGCATGATTACACTTGCATGATTTTTCTACTGTTCCTATCATAGATCTGTGATCCATTTTTGGGTCACAACTCACTGATCTACAGGACAGTTCAGAAATGAAAAAGCACTAAAAGAGGTTACAAAACTATTACAACATCTCATATAAGCCCGAAGCCGCATCATGCACTGCTTTGAATCACCTCTATGCTCTCTTGCTAACTCAAAGACAGTGATTCATCAGGTTTGGTCTTTTTTTCTAAATAGGGAGGCTTCAGTTGTATAACAAACTATTAATAAGTTCAGTCTGCTTTTATGGGCAGCAACAGTTTGGCGGTCCCGATCTGACCTTTTGCTGCTTTCCAGTACTGCAGTGCTTGAGGGCAATGAGCATACACACACACACACAAATACAAAACACAAGCTCTAAAAATAGACCAGAGACTCCCAACCTCGTAATACACATCTAATGTTCTGTTTAAGCCCATATAATGAACAGGGACATTGAATTATCATGTGGTGAACAAGATAATATCATACATCAACAATCTTGGGGAAAAAAAGAAAAATCAAACAGACAAAGAAAAGGTGATACTTCTCCAAAAACTGTATGCTAGATCTGTTATCTGTGTGTGTCCCGGTATTCCCTATGTTACAGTATGGGGACCAAATATCCCCACTAGTAAAGTAATACCAGTCAATTTCGTCCTTGTGGGCACATTTTTTTGGTCCCCATGAGAAAAACAGCTTATAAATCATACAGAATGATCTAAAAATGCAGAAAGTTTTCATGCTTTAGGGCAGGGGTGGGGAACGTTGATCATGGAGGGCCGGTGTCCCTGCAGAGTTTAGCTCCAACCCTAATCAAACACAACTGAACCAGCTAATCAAGGTCTCCAGGATGCAGTTAGGTATTTTTTTTAGGGTTTTTCAGGGTTGGAACTAAACTCTGCAGGAGAGTGGCCCTCCAGGATCAACGTTCCCCACCCCTGCTTTAGGGGTAGGGTTAGGGTAAGGGGATAGAAAATACAGTTTGCACAATATAAAAACCATTATGACTATGGAGAGTGCCAATAAAACATGAAAACCAGTGTGTGTGTGTGTGTGTGTGTGAGAACCCCGGTGGAAAGCTAATCTCCGCTTCTGAGAGTCTCACTAATTGAGAAGTGGTACAGGTCAGAGGATCAGCAGTAGACATGGTGGGTTTATCGCTGTAAGGTGCACGCAGCTCCAGCATTAATGAGAGTGATCTCACTGCACTGCTCAGGGAGATAAACCGACACACCGTGAGCGATCGCCTATTTAGCTCGTGATATATTACAGATCTGCAGGCCTGAGAGGACAAATCACTTTTTCCTGAAGAGCGGTTTCTTCCAAATTCTGGATATGCAAGCTGAAAGTTCATTTTGAAACATCTGACACCATGTAATATAATAGCTCGATTCCAAAGTATTTCAAGATATCATAGGTGTGGTTTTAGGGAAGCAATTCCAAAAATAATAAAAATTATAATTATAAAGATTATAATTTTATTAAAAGTATATTTATTTATTTTTACATTTAAAAATCACAGTCTGGCTAATGAACATTAATTAGGTAAAGCATTTCAAATGTATCACTGGTGTGGTCATTAGGAAGCAATCCAAGAAAGCACTGCAACAAGCTCAGCTGGGAAAATAAACATCCAAGATGATGGAATGTGTTAAGTGAAATACTGACTGAAAACAGATTTGTATTTTATTAAATTCTTTTAAACAAAGTATACTATATTTATAAATAATTAATATTATTTTATTAAAGTAAATTATAAATTGTATTAAGGTAGGACACTACAGGTGAAGAGGCTAAATATTTATGTTAATAGACATCACCATCCTTTCCAATGTTTGTTTAAATATGCAAATGAGGCATTATCTAATTAAATATGCACTTTGTGTTTAAATGCAATTTGAACACATTTCCAGAATGGAAATCTAAACGTTTAATAAATCCAGGTTCAAAATTCTTGCTTCATTTTGTTGACAAAAGAGTTAAATATTTGATTTATTTTATTACTCCATCAATTAAAAAGTAAATTCACCATTTAGAACAAAAACTGTATTTAGAGAAAATGGCCTTTAAAGATATGTATTGTAATTGCAAATAAAGTATAATTACTGTAAAGAAAAACACACATTTAAATGTGTATTTTGGATGTTTTCTTTTTTTCTAGTCTGAAAGAAGTCAAGTTATGAAAACAAAATAGCACATCATCTCAAAAATTGTTTTTTGGAAAAAAAGGTTTTAGCCTGTAGTGTCTTGCCTTAAAAGCAAATATTTACAACAATTGTAATTATAATACACTTTAATAAAATTATATACTTGAATATTTAGAATTATAAAGATGTATTTTATGTACACTGTATACATTTTTTACTAAATTAGATTTTTGTTTGATTTATTTTATTTTTATACTGTATGTATTTTTAATTGTATATTATGTATTATGTATATTATTTTATCATTTTTATGAAATATAAGTCACAGCCTGGCTCATGAATATGAATTAGTAATGTAAAATCAGCCCAGAAGTCCTAACTGATTTTCTGAATGTGGCCTCTAACAATATTAGAATCACTGTTCACTGCTTCCACTTTCGTTGAGTCCACTGTCCGTGCAACCAGTCCCATGACAGCTGACATGCAGACAGTAGGCAGTGAGGTAACTTGCTAAGAAACTGAGCTTATAGCACAATGCCTCAAATGACAATGGCACCATAATAGGCTATAAAATCTGACAGAAAAAAAAAATCAGCAACAGAGCAGGACGTTTATCTGAGGACCTGTGATAATAATTTATTAATTAAGTTGTAACCATGTAAAATAAGGATGCTGTGGAAATTACTCACGAAGAAAGTGCTTTTCCAATAAGGTTATCTCCAGGTGACCTTTGACCTCATTGAGTCGGTCAGCATCACTCATCTTGTAGTCCTGGATGGGAGCAGCAGACATGGTCCCTGAACCAGCCTGGAAACAAAGAGTAAGAGAAAATATGAGAAGCTTAAGGTTCACAGCAATGGCAACATTAAATAGCTGTTAAGGTCAATTAAACATCAGAATGATCGTCTAATGGACATTCTCTTTAATCTAACAATACTGAATATGGCCATGTTACAGTCTAATAAATGAGAGTCCATTAGCATCTGTGGCTCCAGCCTGCCAGAGACATTACAGCATCGTCTTCACAGAGGTTCAGCATAACCAGGATTCGACAAATCACAGCTTCTAGTCACCAACCGGATGCCAGTGCGGCAGCTGTAACCATAGTGACCAGCTCACAGAGACACAACAAATCTCTTAGGTGAGCTTTCCTGTGCTTATCAAATTATATGCAGCAAATGCAATTTCTTTGAAAATGTGCTTGGACGAGGCCGTCCTATATAAAAGCCCGTAATAACATTATTTTGTCTGAACTTGGATTCCAGTCAGTTCTTTTCTTGTAAAATGTCATGCAAAACACTAAAGTTCAGTGCTAAACACAGGGTGGCATCAGAAACAAATGACCACAGTAAAAGATAGCGCAGCTTCACAAAGATTGTTTTTAAGACTAGGGCCTGTGAAGTCTGTGGATGTGAACGACGGAGGGCAATCTCAGCTGCAACAACAGGAAGAGGTCATTTATACAGAAAGAAATACACTGGAGCAAATGGATGTTTGGGCTGAAACTCCGTTGGGAATTTGGCTGTCTGCCTCTTAATACAAGGCAAAGAACAGAAACTAAATGCAGGCTGGAAGAAAGTCACAGGAATACATGTTTTTTTTATTGCTACTATTATTAATAATATTACTCTGAGTATATGTTCAAAAAACTCAAAGGAATATTTGATTGATATTCACATTTCTATATAAACCCCAGTTATAAATAAATAAATATTAGTTATGCATTTACAGTGGAAGTCTATGGGAAACTACTGCATGTTAGCCCATAGACTTCCACTGTAATTGCATAGCTATTTATATATATTTTTTTCTGAACTCCCACTGAAAGCAAATTGTCAAAAAAAGTGAAACCTCATTCCCAACCAATTTCATTTCACATGACATTTCCATCAAAACAGGAGCTACAAATGAAAAAATTTAATAAATTAAATAACTTTTATTTTGACAATTTCACCAATCTGGGATTGATTGGATGGTGAAAAGTGGGTGTTACATACCAGAATATGCAGATCTGAATTAGTGATAGGAATTTACTGGCTTGGATATTTGAATCTCATTTTGCAAAATGAAATAATCTTTCTCAAAACAAAACAAAAATAACGACTTTATTTAATATTTTCGTCTCTACTGCGTCACTTGTGGTGACAGTATCATGACGCGAGCGTGTGGCGGCGCTGACCCAGATCCGGCGTTATGACATCATCATCATGATACTGTTGTGAACACGTGTCCACTAATGACGCAGTAGAGACGAAAATGCAGAACAAAGTCGTTATTTTAGTTTTCTTTGCGCAAAAAAGTATTCTCGTAGCTTCGTAAATTTACAGTTGAACCACTGATGTCACACGGACTACTTTGTCGATCATCTTGGTACTTTTCTGGACCTTGAACGTGGTAGTTACCTTGCTGTCTATGGGAGGGTCAGAGAGCCCCTAGATTTAATCAAAAATATCTTAAATTGTGTTCCGAAGATGAACGAAGGTCTTATGGGTTTCGAACAACACAAGGGTGAGTAATTAATGACAGAATTTTAATTTTTGGGTGAACTAACCCTTTAAGTAAATTATGATTTCTTGTTGAACTGAATGACTTTCTATGACTGGTGTTACAAAATCTTCAAAATACAGGTTAACATCATTTTTCACAATCTTATCGCATCTCTACATTTTTCTACAGAGACAAACACCACAAGCACATTTTTAAAAACAAAATGCATTCAGCACTTTGACAGATTCTCCCTTGATATTTCCCACAGATGAAAAAACGTCACTTACAGGGTCTCGCTGCTCTTCTGTTTCTTTGATGGAGCTCCGGTGTTTTACTGGGACGTCTTCATTACATTCGCTGTCAGATGCGTTGGGGGACTCGGCAAGGTCTAGGAACTCATCTCGCTTCGGTCCTCTGAACCTTATCTTATCCAATCGCTTTAGCATGTTCAACACAGAGACCTGTGTCTTTATCTTAACATGGCGGGTGGTAACCCTGTAAGGACAAAAGCATCTTTTGAAACGGTGCAGCAATGAAGAAATGTTGCACGACTACATAATACCTCTCGATAAATATCATTATCATTTAGACCACGTTCTGGATTTTTTATTTCTTAAATGCACACGTTGAAAAATAAAAGTACCATAAAATGAATATTTACATACTTTATTTAGTATGCTATCTTATTGTCCAAGTGAAACCCAGCAGTGGAGTAAGACAAAGCCAACCATTCTTGGCGAAAGAAGTCGGCTCAGGAATAATGTGCAACTGACAGTCACTCGCCTGCACAATAATAGTCTCCCTGCTATTGAGGCCTGTGAACTGTAGAGGCAATAATGGGCTGCTTGAACTGGCTGTGAGAAATTGCTACAATCTCAAAGAGATCAGCTGATGTCGGACTAGTGTGGCGCAGGACCCTGTACTGTACAGTATGTGGGTCAGAGGTAGAGGCCCCATGATCCTCACTCTCATAGCGTGACCCCTGTTGTACACAGCTGATTGTGACGGTTTGATGCACGAGGAAAACCAGACATTGATTTCAAACTTCTCCGGTCTAAAAGTGATTGTTACTCACCTCCATGTCGTTCCAAATCTGTATGACTTCCAATTTTTGAAATAATCATTTAGGCTGCTTTTGTGAACTGGATTAACTGATTCTTTGAAAAGATTTGACTTGAAAAAAAAATCTGTAAATATTGTTGATATTGGATATTTTTTACGATTTTTATTTTGAAAGTACCTTTGCTGTCATCCAACACTCACTGTACATTGTGATGCCTAAATTCACTCGTAGCATTTATAATGATTAATTTACTTTGAACATTTTAGGTGTTTTATTTGTAATTTATTTAGGCAAAATGGTGTCAAAGTTTCAAATCAACCATTTATCCGTTTTCAAAGTATTTAAAAGTATTATTTTCATAAATATTTATCTTTAAATTTATATTTATCAGTTTTAGTTTGAGTATTTTTCATACTTTAAAGTAACTTATGAAAACATTTCTGATTTTTTTATTTTTTCCATTTAAAATTTTATATTTTATTTTATTTGAGCTTTATTTGGATTAATTTAACATTTCATATAATAAACGTTTTAGTATTTTTAGTTAAAAATAACACACAAAGCTACCATATGGCTTTAGAAGAAACCACAAGTTTGAGGAGCCTCATTTAAAATACTTTTACGTGCTTTTGTATCATTTTGCAGCATCAATGTTAACTATTTGGAAATAAGAAGCTAGTACATTCTTCAAACGGTTTCCTTTTGTGTTCCACAAAGAAATTCAGTCATGCAGGTTAAGAATGACATGAGGGAGAGTAAATAATGACAATTTAAATTTTGAGGTGTCTGTCCTTTTAATCCTAATATACTGTATGTGCTGATTGCTATGATAACAAATGGAAACAGCACATTTGGCTGTTAAACTCATGGAAAGACGCAGGTCATGAACTATTGTGCTCTTCCTCGGGCAACGTCTTAAATGTCTTTGTGCATCTAAAAAAATTCCCTGAGAATGCCGAGACTAAAGCACTAACACAGCTTTGCAACATGTGACTGGATTATATATCCAAAAAAACTCTCCAGGAACCAAAGGCCCACGGTGTTGTACAAAATAATGCTATTGGTGTTCCAAACTCTGCATTCCCTGCAGTTAGTTGACCTTACCGCAAACAAAGCAGGCCTGGAAACAAAGCGGCCGTATGCGTGCCTAGACACTCTAAACCTCCAGCAGAGTTCTAATTTCACTTCCAGAGCTCAGACAACATGCTGTACATGATAATGACAGGACTGAGGTTTAACGCCAGCCGTCTTGTTCTTAAGCAGCCTGAGTTTGGCATCCTGTGAATTAGAAAGGGACTTCTTTTGACAATAAGCAGACGTTTCATGCAGCTCACACAAGGGAAAGGGAAATAGCTTGAGCGGATGATATTTATCACCCGTGTCTAGATTTGTCAGATTTACAATGTTTTAACTCATTAGATTGCGTCGTTTTATGAGAAGTTATGACAGCGTGTTAAACATCAAAACTAATCATGTCCTTTTCATACAAAAGTTTTGCTTGGGAAAAAGTACTACAGTAAATCAGGCCTACAGTACAATAAAAACATCCTTTCCTCTCTTATGTTCCAGAAAATAACGAACAGTTTGCCCAAAAATGACATGATCTTAAGGGAACAGGGTTTGCATGCAGTATGCACACTTTTTAGAAGACTTGGAACATAGCATTCGTGTCTTATGGACTATTTTATGGTCAAATTAAAAATAAATAAATACTAATATATATATATATATATATATATATATATATATTAAAACTGTCTTTAAAAGTAGAAATTATATATATATATATATATATATATATATATATATATATATATATATATATAAAATAAAATGATCTAGGATAAAGGATCCCCACTGAAGGCCAAATACACAGAATTGGGAGAAAGTTTTGAGACAAGTGGTTGAGCAAGTTTGATTTGTTCAGGGTGGAGCATGAGTTTAACTTTCCCACTCCTCACTAGTCTGCACAGCTTTTGGGTGGAGCTCTACCAACAATCAACCTACAAGTTTAGGTGGAGGAAAAATTCCTAGCATCTGTTTGAAGGGATAGTTCATTCAAAAATTTACATTCCATCATCATTTACTCAGACGTCATTTCAAACCTTTAAGACTTACTTTTGTGGAACATTAATATTTTGTGAAATGTCTCAAGTGTTTTTGTCCATGACATAAAAAAACTTAGGGCACCAAAACCATTTAGTAACCAACATTTTTTTTTATTTTATTCATTTTTGTTTTCTGCAGAAGAATTACATTTTTTTTTTTTTGTGAAATATCCTTTTAACCAACAAGTGGAACAACCGCGATTGGCTCTAAAAGCATTCTGTAATCACTCCACTCAAGATCCACTCCATGTTTTATATCTCACACTCCTTCATACTACTGAGAGAAACCCACTCAGAGCAAGAGAGAGATAATATTAAGGTTCTAAATTTTAGGACTGGAATGATGTACAGGTTTTTAGTCCGTGTCCATCACATAATCATCCAACCGACAACTCAGCTAATAAAAATGTGTTCTAAGAACACCTTGCTAATGTTCCTTTTAAGTTATGAAAAACATTTTTGTCTGAATTCTGGGAATGCCACATAGATTTATCGGCCAACATATTGGTTATCGGCTTTCAAAAATAAAGAGTAATCGGTTATCGGTATCGGCCAAAATTTTCATATCGGTGCATCCCTACTTAAACTAATAAGTGGTAACGTATAAAAATGTTAAGCCCTGTCGGGGCGGATAGCCTCATGGTTAGTGCGCCGATATGTAACGCAACTGCACTTGCAGTGACCCGGGTTCGATTACAGTCTCGTGGTCCTTCACCGATCTTGTTCCCCTCTCTCGGCCCAGTCCTTTCCTGTCTCCTCTCTACTGTCCTATCACATTAAAGGCATTAAAAAGCTCATAAATATAACTTTTAAAAAGTTTTGGTTTTTACATGACTGCTATGGTAAGCATACAGTGTGCATGATGCAAATGTCATCACCAGCATAGTACATGCGTACTGTACGAGCGCATTATTTTAGCTGCGCATACATTATACACTTAGCTTGGACATGCGCCTTGAATTGTGTAACTAATTGGTTTGTCCATAAGGTGGCATCATTGCCCATCGTTTCACAATAGAACAAGAAATTGATGAGACAGAACAACAACAAACTACTGGAGATGTTAACAAAAACAGATGGCTCCGCTGATGAGCACTTGTGACAAGTTAAGATTCTCTAGTTTAAATAAGTACAAAGATATTTTTATAGATGACTTCTGGAGAGAGATACTGCAGACACTGAACAAGGACTAAACTTCCTAGTGTGCACTTGTTGAGTGCTAGGGCTCACGTCCATCAAATGGAGTAGCTATACGTTGACACTTTATATATTTATTATACACAAGTCCACACTTTCGTTACATAACGCCACCTCGTTAAGTAGAAATCTTTAGTGGAGTCGCCTCATGGTGGGCTCGGCAGAAGAGCGCATCTAGGTCGCATAGCGGCCACAAAGGGGGCGCTCGCGAGCATTCTTCTGAAAGCTAATTTTCTGTGGTTCGCTCTGTCTTGGCCCTGTTCCAAATGGCACACTTCATGTGGACTTTCGGTCTTGCGGACTTACAATGGCCGCCTCGTGCTCGTGTCCATTAAGTCCACCAGACCGCAGGGTGTCCAATTAGTCATTTTAGCGTTCAGAAGGGTGCTCGCGAGCGCCCCCTTTGCGGCCGTTCTGCGCCCTCGAGCCACTCTTCTGCCGAGCTCGCACTGTGGCGAGCTCCGCAGCAGACTTCTTCTACCCCACAGTCAAAGCAGCATTACGTCACGAAAGTGCGGATTCCGAGGAAGACACGAGGGTTTAGGGTGCCATTTGGGACAGGGCCCTTGTGCGCAGCAACGTTCGCACAGCTTTCAAAGTATACTCAACCGCGGATGGATAAGTTTGACCCGTGCGCAGTACCACCTAGTGGACTCTTCTATCTCAGCAACATTCAGCTTGCTCCAACTGTTGCGTGCATGGACGTCCTTGGACCATCCTGCTGACGAAATTTACATCATGCAGACATTGTGTGGAGTATAGCCTACATGTTCTAAGTATAATTTGGGTTTACAAGTGCACAGGACGTGTGCCATTTAGGACAGGGCCATAGAAAGACTGTGTGTTCGGCTCTACGCATGCGCCAAGCGTTTGCGCCAAATCTGAAGTATACTTTGGGCTTCAGACGAATGTCCAACTAAAATGTTTCAGAAAAACTTTCCATAAACAACGTATAAATGCTTTTGCTAACATTCCCAAAATGTTATTAAAGACCAGATAACTTTACATTAACTCCATGAACTTTAACTTCACAGGAGGAAGTAACTTTGCGAGAACCTTGCTAGAATGTTAACCAAAGTTCTGAGAACGTTCCCTTTTAACCGGGAAAGTATAATTAACAAGTCTGTTTTACAATAGAAAACAAAACAACATTCTGTGACTATGATTCTATGCTGTACTCTATTCAAAACGCCACTCTATTGTAACGCAGCACTTACTTCTAGGCTACATTAATAACACCCATTACAATTACATCATAGGTAAACACCATGACTACCACAACTATGAGGCCACTGAGCGACTCCCCTTTCACTCTCCCCGACTCTGACAATGAGTTTAGCGGTCAGGCTGCTCGTCTGTGCTCCCTTCGACACCGGCATTGTGTCAGACATCTCCATTCCCCCACTCTCTCTAAACCCCATCATCCGCACCTATTGTCATACTCTGCAGCCTATTATCCGACAGCAATGTTTTGCGCGTTCATACATTTTGTTTCTCGTGTACTGCACTCTCAACAAGCGTCTTATTAGCACGTTTTATTTCCAAGCATTCTGCTCCAGGGTTTTGCATCATCATCACCTCACCGTGTAGTTCAAGTTGGATCTCATCAATAAAACATCGAGGGTTGACACAGTTGCACCATCAATATATTGCCGATTAATGCCTTGACCTAAACGCCTTTCATCACTACACAACATCTTCTAGATCGATGCCGTGGAGAATGGCGGCTTTCGTGCGCGTGCAAAATATTGGAAATCGTTTCTTACCTCGTCTTGAGGCTAAGGGATGGTTGTCACATTAAGCCACAAAATATATTAGCCTAAATAAAACCGTGAAATAAACATGTGTACAGAAAACGCGCTGCAGCTGTGCGAAACTACAAACAATGTGGCACATTCGCGCTGTAAATGAGTTTGAGGATTCGAATTCAAACGCAACAATGTAACAAAAGCTTCTTCAGTCTGACACACTGTAACATGCACCCCCGCCCGCCGCGGGATTAACACCCAGAAAGGGGAAGAAAGTTTTTTTTACCCACCTTGCACGGAATTCGTAATTAAGTTTCATTAACAGGAAGTCATGAATATTCGAGCTTCGCCCCGCTCTGTCGCCACCTGCTACCAGCTCGATGATGAGAACCCCGGCGATAAATGCCCAAGCGGACACATATTGATCTTCCCTGAGCTGTCAGATGTTATTTCCAGCGTTATTACGGATTAGAATCGCATGCAAACGGCAAACCATCATTTGGGGTTCGTTTCAATCTGTTGTTGATATCCAGCGAGACTCACTTCACAGCAGGAAATTTCGTCAATGACAGCGACAGACGCTCTTAAAGGGGCCGATAACTGACAGTCGTCTCTTATCAAATAGAAACGCTCTCAAATCTTCCTTCTTCGTGAATGAAGTAAAATGTGCTCAAGTTAGTTGATGTATTTTGAATATTAAACAACAATAGAGGGCCTGTTGTGTCTTAACAAGCGAGGCGGACATTAATCCCATAACTCTGTCAAATCCATGCTTAAAGTTTATGCGTCATATACGCACGCGAGGATGAAAACAAACGCGAAGGTGTATGATTTATCTGTAATTCTTTTGAAGTGGACTTGTTTGGACGTGAACATACGCCTTTAGGTCTAGACGGCTATGTGACAGGTCTGGTTTGACTCGTTTTGGGGGGTTTGCACTGCAGTTAGCCTCGACCACTGGATGATTGTGTGTCCACTAGGTGGCGCGCAATGACAGATCATTGTTTTTACTTTTAATCAACTGAACCGTCAGAGATAACGTTCTGTCTGTTAATCACACATTATACTTTCTATCTACATTTTAACATTTTATATTTGACTTGTTTATTCTACACTTCATTACACAATACTAGCAAAACACTTCCAAATACTATAATGGGAATTACCATGGTTCCATTGGTAAAGCCATGTTTTTTTAAACACTTTTTTAACACGTCACCATAATCAAACAGCAAGTTTTTATCACATAAATAATCATGAAAATACTATGGTATTTGAGTCTGGTAATCATTCAGTAGCATGGTAGATGGGGGAGCATGTTTAATAATTATTTTTTAAATAATTCATGAATTTTTAAAGTTTTGTTCACTTAAATTGACTAACTCACTATCATTAAAAAGTTTGGGGTTGGCAAGATTTTGTATTTATTTATTTAATGTTTTTGTCACTTTGCTTACCAAGGCTGCATTTATTTGGTTCAATAAAAAAAATTAAAACTCTATTCTATTTTAATATATTTTAAGGTGTAATTTATTCATGTGATGCAAATCTGAATTTTCAGCTGTCATGACTCCAGTCTTCATTGTCACATGATCCTTCAGAAATCATTCTAATATGCTGATTTGCTGTGCAAGAACCATTTTTCATTATTATCAATGTTAAAAACCATTGTGTTTCCTAATATTTTTGAGGAAACTGATTTATTTTTTATTTATATTTATTGATGAATTGAAAGTAAATCTCATAAATGTCTTTACTGTCACATATGTGTCCTTGTTGAATAAAACCGTATACATTTAAAAAAAAAAAAAAATCACATATCTCAAACTTTTGAACAGTAGTGTATTATGAAGGAATTTCATTATAGCAAATAATTAGAAATATTAGTCATTTTAGTGAGGGGAAAAAAAGATACAAGATTTTGTATTTATTTATTTAATGTTTTTGTCACTTTGCTTACCAAGGCTGCATTTATTTGGTTCAATAAAAAAAATTAAAACTCTATTCTATTTTAATATATTTTAAGGTGTAATTTATTCATGTGATGCAAATCTGAATTTTCAGCTGTCATGACTCCAGTCTTCATTGTCACATGATCCTTCAGAAATCATTCTAATATGCTGATTTGCTGTGCAAGAACCATTTTTCATTATTATCAATGTTAAAAACCATTGTGTTTCCTAATATTTTTGAGGAAACGGATTTATTTTTTATTTATATTTATTGATGAATTGAAAGTAAATCTCATAAATGTCTTTACTGTCAAATATGTGTCCTTGTTGAATAAAACCATATACATTTAAAAAAAAAAATCACATATCTCAAACTTTTGAACAGTAGTGTATTATGAAGGAATTTCATTATAGCAAATAGTTAGAAATATTAGTCATTTTAGTGAGGGGAAAAAAAGATACAAGTTCATACAGATTTTTAATTAAATCTTTTAAATTCATTTATTTACAATGTTCAAATGTTTTATCAGTGCGAATAGTAAGAATATAAATACCTTATTTTACATGCTGGTATCTAATATCTAGGAGCTTTGACAAGTAATGGAGGTATTTCATGGATACACATTTAATATATTTCATGTGATAATGTGTGTTCACTTAAAGGGTTAGTTCACCCAAAAATGAAAATTCTGTCATTAATTACTCATCCTCGTGTTGTTTCAAACCCGTAAGACAACGTATTTGGTACTTCACGACAGTACCATATACACGAGCGTGTGGCGGCGCTGACCCAGATCCGTGAACGCGCGTCCACAACTGAAGCAGTAGAGACGAAAATGTGGAATAAAATCATTATTTTTGTTTTCTTTGCGCAAAAAAGTATTCTCGTAGCTTCATAACTTTACAGTTGAACCACTGATGTCACACGAACTACTTTGTCGATCATCTTGGTACTTTTCTGGACCTTGAACGTGGTAGTTACCTTGCTGTCTATGGGTGGGTCAGAGAGCCCTCAGATTTGATCAAAAATATCTTAAATCTTGTTCCGAAGATGAATTAAGGTCTTACGGGTTTCAAACAACACGAGGGTGAGCAATTAATGACAGAATTTTCATTTTTGGGTGAAATAACCCTTTAAGGACTACCGATCAATAAATGCTTCTAAACTATTACAGATTACATAGTTACTGACCTGACATCACTTTCACATAGACTGATCTTTAACATGAGTAAAAACAAAAGAACGGCTCCCTGAATGTCTCAGTCTATACTATTTACACAAGAGGTTTGGCAGAGCTATTAAATAGTCGACAGGCACTTTAGGAATCTTTTGATTCTTTGTTGGTAATTTATATGCAGAGCAAACAAAACACTGTTTTTCTATGTACAGCACTGGCAAAGACTTTAAGGCATGCTGAACATAAGATGTAAAATACTGTAAGAGGTAATCACTGTAAAACACACCTGACCATTGAACCCAATGACAGACAGTGTGTATGATGGTCATCTTCATCCTAATAATTCATCTGAAACATAACTGGGGGAAAGAAAATTCAGACATTTGGGGCAAAAAATAAAACGACGTATTAAGCTTCATCTGCTTAAAAATGCACAGTATAAAAAAACACAACATAAACATTCAAAACAGTGCTGTAAAAAATACCACAGTAAACATAAATATTCAATATTGGCATCACAGTGAAATCCTAATTTACAATTTTACAGATAACCCTATTACACATCTAAAATACAAAATGTCACTATAAACATTACTTACACATCATAAGTCATCTTTTTATGACTGATGAATTCTGGAATAAACTGTACAAATGCTAAATAATATCAAAGTCTTTTGCTGTAACTCCAGATCAACTTTATCCTTTTCGATGTCAGAAAACTTTTCTGCTCAACTTGGACAATGTAGCACTTTGGAATGCTGGGATAGCTAGCGCCCGGCTTCCTTTTGTATTAAATGAACCTTTATAAATACTAAAAACAATTTCAGAGCAGGACAATGTTGTGCTTTAATAATAGTGGGGACACAGAAACTGATTCAAACCCGCTCCAGTTCATTCAGCATCCTTCAAGTTGAAGACTCAGATTGATGTTTCATTGCTGCCACTAACAAGAGAAAGAAAGAGAGGTGTTACAATCAGAAAGTGACCAAATAAATCCTAATGATCAGCATATGACCTCCAACTCACTCCGAATCAAAGTCTTTGTCCGCCAGGGTGACGGGGCTCGTGCCCAGCTCTACGGTCATCCCGTTCAGTGCAGACTGAGGTGGTAATGGAGGTGGTTTGATGATGATGCTGTTGGCCTCGGTTCCTGAGCGAACCCCCTCGTTTGACCCCACCGATGGAGTCTTTCGGGGGATCTGGGGTGGGTTGTAGTCACTGAGCTTCTCCCTCAAGCGGTTCTTCATGTTCTTGTCCGTCAGTGGGGGTGGATATGTGATCTTGTTCTTTAAAATGCCTAATAAAAGGGAAATGATAGTATAATATAATATTTTAATAGAATATATATATATATATATACACACACAATTATATTATTTAAAATATATAATATATTCTAATTAAAGAAATAGTTTATTTTTGTAATAAAATTCATGAATAGGCACAAATCAATTAGATTTTTGTATTATAATTTTTGCTATTTTATTATAATTGTATTATTTAATTTATTATTATTAAATATTATTTTAATATCAGTGATCTTGTTCTTTTAAATGCCTAATGAATGTACTAACATAATACAATATAACATAATACAGAATATTTTAATAGAATAATTTATTTATTTATTTATTTTTTCTAGTTTTTAAATTTTGAAAAAAAAAAATAATAATAATAATAATAGTGTAATTAATTATTTTACAGTACTCTATTCTCTATTAAATGATTAAATATAATTGTAATATTGGTCATCAAGGTTATTAGTACCTAATAAAGGTACTAATATAATATAATACAGAATATTTTATTTATATATATATATATATATATATATATGTAGATACATATTATCTAATAAATTATTATATTTTATTATACTATTATTAATTACTAACTTATGTAGGAAGAAAATTTTTCAAGTACTAAAATGGTTTCATTCACTTGTTTCTTAATTGTTTTTCCCTTTAGTTTTTGTTTTTAAGTAGTAATTTTTATTTCGTTTAAGTAGTTGTCGCTCACCTCTTCTGGGTAACTGGTTGCTGTTTGGCTGACTGGGTGAACTCTCACTTTGCGACACATCTCCATTGTGATTTAATTTATTCCCTTGATGAAGCTCCACATTCACTTTTGTTTCCACCCGCAGTTTCTCTGGACCACCCGGCTCCTCACTTTCACAGGCTGTGGGCGGCTCCTGCGGCCAGTATGGCTTCCCTTGACCGGACACAGCATCAACTGCAGAACAACATGAGTAAAGTTATCAAAAATCCAAGTTTAAATAAAAATAAAATGAATAAAACACATAAAAGAGCAGGTCAGAGTTCACAGAAGAGGCTACAGGCACCTTTCGGAGTGCTATGGATGGGCGTTCTCTCGTTATTCCATTTGGTCCTGGAGTGCCTGGCCTCGTCCTCGCTGTCCGAGGAGTGGGAGGAAGCGTAGGAGCTGCTGTGTTCATCCACTGAGAGCTCACTGTCCGAATCCGAGTCTGAAAATAACAGAAAATTATTATTCAGAGGTTATGATACCAGCTGAGCCTTCAATGGTTTTAAAAATAGTTGCATGCTCCTAAGGGTTATTTCTGTCCTCACCTTCTGCCTTTTTACTCTTGTGGAAGAAGAGCGACGAGTCTCCTTCGTCATGCCCCACATTTCCACCATTAGACGATATGCTGCGCTTCTTCTCCCTGAGTGAAAACAACATCAAATCTATACATTATTACATAATCATCATTACATTAAGTGGAGTCACACTAAAGTTATTCAGTGACAGTATGTTGCATGTGAAATGTTCACAAATGCAGCTGCCAATATAGCAATATTACATATATGACCAGAATTTCTTCTCTGATTAGTTAATAACTTTTTCTCTGTAAATGGCATATGCTTTACCGCTACGCTTTGCAGTTAGAAGTGTGTCTGAGAGATCAAACATGTGAAGCAATACACATTGGATCCAATATAAGATCCATGTAACAGATGACACTGTGCTGTGAATTACAATACTGTAGGGCTCTGTCAGTGGTTATGGTAAAAAATATAAGTCATAAATATGGCTAAAGTACACCCACTGATAGTCATAATGAACTTAGTCTCAAGTAAAGATATTCAGTGGAGTGACCTAAAATCGAATGCCCCTTTGAGACGTTTACGCACAATATAACAGCTAATAATTGGTGCAAATAGGTTAGTGCAAATACTGCCTAACCTAATAGTTCATAATTCCAGATATATTTAGACCATTAATATATGAGAGAAAAATCAAGGGGTCTGGGGAAGTTCAAATGATACACGATTCTCATTTTAAGAGGTTAACGAGGAGGTATGGAGATATTTTGCATTAGCATTTCAAATGAAACATTGTTTTATTACACGAATGTTTAAGAAATACTTAATTCTGATTGGTCAGTTGTAGGATTCAATAAAAAATATCTAAAATTGTAATTCACTCCTGGTGCATTACCTGAGTGTGGAAACAAGGTAGCTGCTGCCGTGACTCTTGCCTGATCTAACAGAGGTCTCTAGAGAAACAGTGGACTCTCCAATGGTGGTCCGGTACAGACCTCCATCCTCCGTGTAGACGTCACCATTCAGAGTACGCTGGGATGACAGATGAAGAGATTCACTGTTAGTGATTAGTCAGTAAATACATTGGGCCTATACATGAATTTTTCATTTTTAATTAACTTATTTATTTTGTTAACTGAAAATGTGTCAGACTCACTGTGAGTAAGGTAGCCCGTGTTGTACTGGGATCTTCAGCTGGTACTTTCTTCCCTGTAAAGGTACTTTTAAGGTTCCTCCTCACGTCTTTGTTGAGAATACAGTGGAAAAAGAAGATGCAAATGCCCTGAAATTAAAAAAATACACATCATTACTGAATAATTAAATACATACACATTTGTCATAATACACAAGCAAAACGGTCTGTTAAAGAGAGCAATCCAATCCCATATGGTTTATATAAAACACATTAAGTAATTCCCATTGCATTGTGTTTAATTATCCATGTTTATATTTTGATTAATATTTTTACCTCATCTTTTAAAATTGTTTTAACTTTCATGTTATTCGCGCTGTTTTTATTCGCGCTTAGTTTAGTAAGTAAGGCGCTGTACGAGGAAGTATCAGAAACCGTCTTAACGCGCGCATTTGCCAAAATGAATTCTGTCCCACTGCTTAATGTCCCTGAACAGTTAAATTAGTTTTTAAACCAAAATGCTTAAAATGTGTTTAAATGAAAAGCTTACATTTGACGCGCAAAATGAATTTCTCAACCCATAAGCGAATATACTAGCCCTATAGAGTTTGTTCAAACACAAAAAGCACTATAGCTACATCTATCAAGTTAATAATCAAACTAACCTAAAATCTGTGGGGACGATGACGCTGTGTTTTTATCTGCTCCATGTGTCCGGTCCATTTGCGCTTCCACAACTCCCACTCCATCATCAGCTTTAGTAAAATAAACTAGCTGTGGATTTTAGTGACTACCTCATGTTTTCCCCTCTCTCCTAAATTTTTTTTTAAGAATAGTTGACATTTTTACTTATCGCAGATTGTTCTTTGCATGACCATTTCTAGATTACACCAGAATGAAGTGAAGAGAGGTGAATGCAGACATTAGGCGCAGTGATCACCTGATAGATAGGCTACGTGCACAGTTTGTTCAAAAGTAAAATATATAATAAATGCATTTGATTGGTAAAACAAATTCAAATGTGACGTTTTAATCTCTAATGGTAATGCATGGAATTTACGGAAAACTCCACTAAATAATAGCACTACAAAATGAGGGGCGTGGTGGTTTTTTTTGCGATCGGCGCTACCGATGTCCATCAATCTACTCTACAGCCAATCACAGGCCCCCTCCTTGCTCGGGCCCCGGGGCTTCAGCCCCGCCTAGCCCAATGGTTAATGCGGCCCTGCACATGACCATACTGTATGTACCTGCAAGCAGCTGAGGATGGCAAAGAGATACTCGGGCCCCGGGGCTTCAGCCCCGCCTAGCCCAATGGTTAATGCAAATGCCCATGCACATGACCATACTGTATGTACCTGCAAGCAGCTGAGGATGGCAAAGAGGTAGTGGAAGGACAACACATCACTGTTGACTGCCATTAGACCCAGCAGCCAGGTGGCGCTGATGAGCAACAGGAGGAGGAAGGCCACTCGAAGAGCAGAGCTGCACAAGAGCAAATGAGAATGATGAAAAAGATTAGCTTGTACCTGCTTATTATTGTTCAGTTTGACCTTTAAGCTTTCTCACTGAACTTACATTGCTCCTGACTTTTCCGTTCGCTGGCGCCGTCCACACGAGGCTTTGGCTGCCAGCACAATTAGGACTGTATTTATCTGTTAAACAAAGAGGTTTATTTTCCATTATTTACTCAAAACCAAATACATCAGTTGGGAGATGGAAAGGAATGCAGTGCTTCCACTGTGTTAAATAAGATTAAAATACACAAACTGACCAGCACTACTATGGAGATTGGTCCTGTGATGCTCCAGATAAGAGTGTCATAAACAGAGAGCCAACAGAAGTCAGGGTTTCCATAACCCTGAGGATCCAAACCCACAGCCAGACCTGAGAAGAGACAATCAATCAGCAACAATGTACGATCAAGATTTATAGGGGGTTTGGGTGGTTTTTAATTGTGTGTGTGTGTGTGTGTGTGTGTGTGTGTTTGTGTATATATATATATATGTGTGTGTATATGTGTATATATATATATATAGAGAGAGAGAGAGAGAGAGAGAGAGAGAAATGAATGTATTTTCACTGATGAGTATGCTGGTAGATTTTCAAACAAGCTAATTTTTCAGTGAATTTTGATTAAATATTTTGAAAAAATTGAATTAATTCAGTCAGTAATTTACTGTACTTTACCATTCAAAAGTTGGAGTTGCTAGGATGTTTTTATGTTTTAGAAAGAAGTCTCTTATGTTCACCAAGGCTACATTTATTTGACAGTAAAACAGCAATTTAATTACAATTTAATATAACTCTATAAATTTAAAATTAAATATAAATCTTTTCTATGAATATATTCTAAAATGTAATTTATTTCTATGATGCAACGCTGAATTTTCAGCATCATTACTCCAGTCTTCAGTATCACATGATCCTTCAGAAATCATTCTAATATGCTGATTTTCTGCACATTTTTGTGAAAAATCATGATGCATTTTTTCAGGATCCTTTGATGAACGCAAAGTTCAAAAGTTCAGCATTTTAAATAAAAATCTTTCGTAACATTATACTGTCACTTTTGAGTAATTTAATGCACCGCTGCTGAATAAAAAGTATTAATTTCTTAAATTAATCTTACCGACCCCAAACTATATATATATATATGTATAAAATAAATGATTACCCAATAATAACAGCACAAGCAGAGATTGGCTTATTCTTGCCAAATCAGAAAAAAATATATAATCTGGTCATTCATTAAGGACTCACGGGATGGAGTGGTTCCAGTAGACGCACACAGGTTTGGTCCTCTCGTGGGTCTCCAGGAGCCTGAAGTTCAGGGTGATGGGTCTCTGGAGTGGGGTGGGGAGAGGCTCTCCGTCCCTGTGGACCACCACGCTCACTACAGGAGTGTTGATGACAGGACGAGTGGGTAGTCTGGGAATGTGTAGAGCACCAGAATGAAAAAAGACATTGTCATATCGGTACCATATTGGTTATCTGCCAGTATTAGAGATCTTTTTTTATTGATCTGTATTGGCTGATATTTACAGAAGAAGAATGGGGGGGAAAATGCTTTGGTAAATCATAATTATGATTATAAAAATCTATATTATTAGATGCTAAATCATAATTACGAGATAAAATGTTGACATTATAACATAAAAAGTCATAATATAACATAACATATTGTCATAATTTTGACTTTAGTATGACATTTTGACTTTTTATGCCATCATTTATCATTTCAAATTTTTATCTCATAATTTCAATTTATCTCATGATTATGACTTAGTACGTCAAAATTTAGACTTTTTATTTCATAATTATGACTTGGTACCTCATAATTTTTCCTCAATAAATTTGTCATAATTTCATATTTTTTATCTCATAATCATGACGGGTAGTCTGGGAATGTGTAGAGCACCAGAATGAAAAAAGACATTGTCATATCGGTACCATATTGGTTATCTGCCAGTATTAGAGATCTTTTTTTATTTATCTGTATTGGCTGATATTTACAGAAGAAGAATGGGGGGGAAAATGCTTTGGTAAATCATAATTATGATTATAAAAATCTATATTATTAGATGCTAAATCATAATTACGAGATAAAATGTTGACATTATAACATAAAAAGTCATAATATAACATAACATATTGTCATAATTTTGACTTTAGTATGACATTTTGACTTTTTATGCCATCATTTATCATTTCAAATTTTTATCTCATAATTTCAACTTATCTCATGATTATGACTTAGTACGTCAAAATTTAGACTTTTTATTTCATAATTATGACTTGGTACCTCATAATTTTTCCTCAATAAATTTGTCATAATTTCATCTTTTTTATCTCATAATCATGAAAGTTTGTCAGTTTTGACTTTCTGTCACATAATTATGACTATGTCATACTTATGACTTCATATCTCATAATTTTGACTTCTATATCTAATTCTATATCTAATTATGATTTACCAAAGTTTCTTTCTTATGTGGCGAAAATGGGCTTCCATAGATATTAGATACTAAATTGTTCATGCTCATTTGCTCTATTTTTACATTTAGATTACCTTTGCTGTCATCTAACACTCAAAGTAAATCTTTAAAGCATTTTTAGCAAATCTCAAAATAAATATAAATTTTTGATACTGTACATTCTAATGTCATTGTTTCACTATTAGCATTTAAATTGATTGATTTTAGTATTTAGTGGTTTAATTTAATCTATTTAGACAAAATGGTATAGAATTTTAATATCGACTATTTACCAGAATGAAAATAATTACTGTATCATCTTGTCATATTGACTGGAATTTTAATATCGGTGCATCCCTAATTATTTAATATTACTCATATTAATTGATATGGTTTTTTTATTATTATTGCATCTCATGAATAAGGAAATCTGTTGCTGGCTGAAGTGCTACCTAAGACTGCGACGGTCCGGATCATAACTCTCTGGAAGGAGTCCACCCAGAGACCTGTAGATCATCACCATCACAACAGCAGGTGGATCGGGCTGTTCTGCATGGCGTCTTTTCTTAGTGGATGGTGTTAAATCAACAGTATCTGATCCGTCCACACTGATGAAAGACTCAGTTGGTTCAATCTGGGCTGGAGGCTCTGTGGTAAAAGCATCTATAGTGTATAAGACATAATAAAGGTTAGAATTACATTTTATTATTGCACATTTCCATGAATATTATTGGTAATATAAAGAAACAAGTTTCAAAGGGACAACCTTTACTCTTTTTCGGCAGGTTTGGGAACAGGACAGATGACTCCAGCTCTTTTGAGTACACCTCATTATCTTCCTGAAATCGAGGAATCTTGTCTTGGTTTGCAGTGGAGTCCAGAAAATCTAGTGCCACAACTGGTTGTAAAGAAAAATTATACATATTTTTAAATCAAACACTCTAAATTGAGCAGAGCAGATGCTACAGGATGGAGAACCCAATACTAACTCATGTTGTCAGTGACGATGGTGAAGGGTCTCAAGTAGGTCTTCCTCATGTTCTGTACCAGAGTGTTGGCGTACTCCTCAAAGTGGTGCAGCAGATGCGCCGTCCCCCCATCAGAGCGCTGAATCTTCTCCCAGTGCTCCTTGTTGACAGGGTCAAGGATGGCACTTCCAGCTTTAATGATGTTCTACCACAACAAAGAAGAGTAATGTTTATTCATACTGGACTGTAACCATCCACTGTGGTTTCAAAATAAAATGAATGTAAATGAATGAATTTATAAAATAATTCATAAAATAAAATATGAAAAATTAATACATTATTTAACGAATTTTTTAAACATTTGTATCATTTTTAAAAAATATATAATAAAATAAATTTAATAGACATATGTATACGTCTGAGAGTAAAACAAGATTTTTAAATTGCATAAACTTGATATATTTAATCTGATGGCTTACATGCTTTCAAACTGGTTAAAGCTGGTAATTTATGTTCATTAGTTGGTTCAACCTGGTTTAGATGGTTGAACACATAGATTACCAACTGGTAAGGTCCATGTCAACCAGGTAGACTATCTTGGTTAAGAGAGTTGGAGCTGGTAGGTCATCTTGAACCAAACAGCAATTTGACCAACTAACACAATTAAGATTTGGGTTCCAAAAAGTTTCCACCTTCAATCAACCAACAAAGTTGTCCTAAACGTCTTTCTTTAGCTTTGAGAAGCTGAGGGAGGTTCAGTTGAAGAGCTCAGGTGGAAGCCAACATTTATTTTCAATGCAATGACGGGCAGTTGGATAGATTTACATGCCTTCTAACTGGTTAAAGCTGGTCAACTATGGTCACTAGTTGGACCATCTTGGTTAAGAGAGCTAGAGCTTGCAGGTCATCTTGGACCCATCAGATTAAACTTGAATGTGAAGATACTAAAATCCTGTTTGATTCTGGAAGCGTGTTTGAAGGCTTTGAGGTCTATACCTTGTTGAAGTCGGCATCATGAGTGGCGGTGAGCTCAAAGCCCTGCTGCAGACTCTCATGCTCTAACACACTGGCCAGCAGATAGTAGGCAGTCCTCACGTCATTCCCAAAGAGGCGATCCGTGTGGTCAGTGGCAGAGTGCAGCAGGCCCGCAAGGCTTTTTGATCTTTCTCCATCCATTCGAGAAGCATTAGCATGAAGATCCTCACTCTAAGTCACACATGAAGGAGGAAACATTGGTCACTTCTAGGATTGTGTAAGACGGAGTAGAATATTTAATAGTGTAGTGTACAATTTCTTCCATGACTATAATTTGGAAGTTGAATCAACTTGAATCAACCAGCAAAAGAGTGACAAACCTCTTTCTTTAGCTTTGAAAAGCTGAGGGAAGTGCAGTTGAAGAGCTCAGGTGGAAACCAACCTTTATCATCGCTGCAATGACGGATAGCTGTGCCTGTCAAACAACAAATGAGGATATATATTGATAAACCATTCAACAATAATGTAATAAAAAGATGAAAATTCCTACATACACTACCAGTCAAAAAATTGGACACATCTACTTTGTTATTGTTAATCATTTTAATTTTTTAAATACAGTAAAAATAAAATGTATGTAGTTTATTTTATGTAGTTTATTTGTGTGTGTGTGTGTGTGTATAATCGTTGGTGCCTCTCTCCCCTCCCTTCAGGACATCTACAACACCCTTCTCACCCGCAAAGCCCTCTGCATTGCAGGTGATCCCACCCACCCGACACACAGCTTCTTCAGTCTGCTGCCATCAGGGAGGAGACTGCGGAGTCTCCAGGCCAGGACCAGCAGACTGAAGGACAGCTTCATCCATCAGGCTGTCAGGAAGCTGAACTCCCTCCCGACCTTGCCCCCCCTCCCCTCTTTTGCCCCACGCACCACTGAACTCTGACCCTCTAACGGACTCTCCCACTCCCCCCTCCCAAATACACACACACACACTGTCACTTTAATCAGTCTGAATAAGGTCTTTTGCACTACAAATCATTTTTTGCACTACAATCACTATATCTGCACTGTTGTTTACTTTACTGGTTTGCACTCTATCTGCCATATGCCTTGTGCTTTATATATATATTTTTACATTTTACCTTATTTGTATATTTGTATAGTTGTATTTTGTATTTAATCTGTATTTATGTTATCTGTATGCACCCAAGGGTCTGAGAGTAACGCAATTTCAATTCTCTGTGTGTATGTGCTGTACATGTGGAAGAATTGACAATAAAGCAGACTTGACTTGACTTGACTATATTTAAAATTATATAAATATAATTGTCTACAAAGGTTAAAATGTGTTATTAATTAGGGCAGATTATATATACTAAATTATATACATTTAACTGTATATTTAGAATTATAAACTGTAAAAAAACATAATTAAATTAAAACAAAGATTATTGAAGAATTTTTTTTGCAAGAAACTTCAAAATGTACATCTACTTCAAAATTTCACATTCAATTCAACTTGTTACTTGCCAGTTTTTTATAATTATTTGTGAAATTTACTAGAAATTTCTATTAAAAAAATCAATTTTTAAATAAATAAATATAGCTGTCTACAAAACTCCAACTTTTCAAATTCAGTCAAGTGTGTCCAACTTTTGATATTGTTTATGTAAATTCTTGATTTGATTAAAGAGAGTACCACTGGATCCTTTGGGGCAGTTTGTGGCTGCAGGGCCACCAAACATGGTGCGGGGCCACCAGATACCATCTTCAAAGGCTTTGGGACAACCATCATAAACCACTAGATAACAAAAAATGGAGTGAGAGTGAGGGAGAAGAAAAAATGCAAAACAGATGCCATTGTTTGTTGCTGTCTTAATGATAAAACCTTTTTAGGAACCACAAATGTCCATTATTTCTAAACCTCAGTCAGTACAGACACTCAATGCTGACATAAAAGCAGTCTGCTCATGACTGGAGTGTATTACACTTACATTTCATCATACTGCGCTTGCAAATATATTTTTTATATATATTATATATTATTATTTATTCAGTTGTCCAAGATATTGTCAAGCATTCTGTGAGCAGTTTTGAAATTAGGTTAACAACATTTAACTAATATCCTGGCCAGTTGACATCACACATACCCACACATCCCCCGGCTGTCACCTCTGCGAAGGGGTTGTCACAACGGTTGCACTGACGACCCACCACACCCATCTTACAGGGGCACTGGCCCGTTACAGGGTCACATGTCCGGGAATGCGCTCCAAGGTGAAAACAATCACACGGGTAGCAAGTGTCTGCACCAAGAGGCCGAAAGTAATTGTCCTGAAAAAGGGAGGATGAGAAAATAATGGAATTTTGTGAGCATGAACCTGAAATTAATATGGAAGGCTGTTTTTTTCTATTGCAATTGCAAGTTTTTATATCACAACTTTTTTATAGAATTGTGAGACATAAACTTTGTGAGTTTATATCTTATTATTCTTAGTTTACATCTTGCAATTCTGACTTTTTTGCTCAGAATTGTACGTTTACATCTTGCAATTCTGTTTTTTTCCAAAGCAGAATAAAAAATAAAAAAGGTAATTGCGACCTTTTTTATCTCACAATTCTGACTTTTCTTTTCAGAATTTATAATTAACATCTCGCAATTCTGAGATCTGTAGACTAAATTGTGAGATATAAAATCAGAACAGAGAGAAAAAATGTAATTGTGAGATAAGAAAAAAAATAATAAAAATAAATAAATATATATACTGTTTATTATTCTGTGGTGGAAACAAAGTTTTTTTTTATTAATACTTTATTCAGCAAGCATGCACTCAATTTGATGCATTTAATCTGTTTAAAAGCGACAGTAAAATATTTGTTAAAAAATATTTGTATTTCAAATAAATGCTTTTGAACTTTCTATTCATCAAAGAATCCTGAAAATAAAATGTATCATGGTTTTCACAACACTATTAATAATAAGTGTATATAAATAATTATTGAGCAACAAATCAGCATATTAGAATGATTTCTGAAGGATCATGTGACACTGGAAGCTGGAGTAATGATGCTGAAAATTAAAACATGAAAAAAATCTTACTGACCCCGAACATTTAAACAGTAGTGTGCTTAATGGAATAAAAGCTACTTGGTCCAATTTATGTGAAGTGTGACTGTTGGACGACAACTAGAAGTCTAGAAGTCTGGTTTCTTTCGAGAATCTGGAGCATGTGATCACTTGCAGCTTACCTTGCAGCTACACTCTCCGGTGGTTTTATTACAGTCCCTTTTGAAGCCTTTGCTGACATCGCAGTTACAGGGCCCACAGGTCGGGTATCCCCACCAGCCGCGAGCACAAGGTTGGTCCCCTCTGTGTGTGCGCACAAACGTCAAAGTAAGAGTGAAAAAAAGAGACAGAGAAAAATACAACAGCGCAATAGTGCCTAGCAAAAGACATAGTTTAAATTTCAAACTTCACAGAATGAGACTCAAAACAGCTTCTATTGGGGACTGAGACTGATTTGACGTTTGAAAAGGGGGGCATTTGCTTTGAAATTGGACATGAAATTCTGCTGTAAAATCAAAGCAGTCGATTCTGACTGCGGGCAAACACGAAATAGCTTGTGTGAAAGCAATACATCATTTTAAGCTTTGTGATCATTTAAAAGAGAATCTTTTTATGGTAAAAGAAAGGAACAGAAACTAAATCATTTCAGAAATAGACCCTTTTTTCCACTCATGGAAATTCTTTTATCTGTTTTCTCCTAATTTTTGGAACAAGAGTTTAGTTTTTTTGTTATTGTCATTATTATTTCATTTTATTTACGTAAAATGACAAGAAAAAATCTGTTAAAAAAGATTTTTTACGTTTAAAAGAAAATTCACTTTTAAAACTTTGATTCTGTTTTTTTTACTTTAGTTTATCTTTAATGGATGAAATACTGGATCATTCTAGCAGTCTGAGAATTATTTTACTTGTTTCATTATAAATAAAAGCCTTACAGTGTGGGTGTCAAAGACATGTGGAATTACCAGAATTAAAGGATCATCACAACAATACCATCACAAACACTGCCAGCGTCTGCTATCACAGTTTTTGCCACTTACAAAACCTTGGCAATTCATGAAACAGACCATCAGACAATAAAGCTGTTGTCAGTCAGCGTGTTTCAGCAAGTACCAAGATTTAACTAAAAGTTCAGTGATTTTCTTAATCCTAACCAAATCTAAACATTAAAGGGATAGTTCAACCAAAAATTAATGTTGTGCAATTATTTCCAAACCTCTAAGACTGTGTTTTTTGTATATGCAATGAAAGTCAATGGGGTCCAGTGTTGTTTTAAACCCCATTGACTTTTACTGTATGCACAAAAACATTTGAAACATTCTTAAAAATATATTTTGTGTTCCAAAGAAAAACTTTTTTTCACTCGAGGGAATGCAAAACGGTACATTTGGTTGCTTAAAAGACTACCAGCACAGCTTTGTTCAATGAGCTGCAAGATTTGAGGCAGCATTCATGTATGCAAAACTATTTGAATGTACATCCCTAAACCTTAGTGTGAGCCACATGAATGAATGAATCAAAGATACAGAGAGATACTCACTTGTGCTCACAGTATTGGCCATAGTAATTGTGTCCACACTCACAGCTGTAGCCACGTTTGGTGCTGGGTTTACGAACACAGGAGGAAGTGTGTTCACAAGGGTTCAAGAGACATGCATCCATACAGTCCCTGCCGAAATAACCTGGGGAACAGGAAAAGAGAGAAAAAGTGTTTGCACCCCACTATATAAATACTCTAAAGGTTTTTGTTCTGTAGCACTATTGGTGTTACCTGGCTCGCAGACACATGTGTGGGATGCCCAGTTGTCTGCGCAGCGGCTGTGAGATGGACACAGGTTGGACTGACACGCATCGGGTATGTTACATCCGTCTTTTGCGTGGATTCGCGTCGCATGCCGTATGTTGATGTTTGCAGTGTTGGTGGAGGTCTCGCCCATTCGCATACCCTGTGAGATGGCCACATGACGTACCCATGTGAATAAGACAATACACACCTTTAAACAATGTAAATGTGTGTTTATGTGAGCATACCTGCATGCAGCCAGTAAATCCAGCCTGCACAGTGTTGTCTTTCTTAAGCAGTCCACCGATAAACAAGTTCCTCAGTTTAAGCCCAGGCAGCTCGTTACCGATCTCCACTGTCCTCTAGATAACAAAACAATATAATAAATCAAATCAATATCATAAATATGTGAAATAAAAAAGTGTGAAAATATCACAGAATTGTGTGTATTTAGAGTATATAAGAAGCTTCAGTAGCAATAGTAAGTCTTATTAAGTTGAAAGTAAATTTGTATCTTCCTTTTTCATTTTCATATTCAAGTTTTAGTTATTTTGTTGTGTGATTTTGTCATTATTGTTTTTTTTTAAAAATATGTCCATATCATTTTTATTTGTTTTTCAGTTTTAGTTAATTTAGAAATGTTATATACTGTAAATAAATATTGAAATCATATACCTGAAACATGCCATAGTCCAAAGACACGAGAGCCATATATTTGATGTCTTTGCCATCTTTTCCACTTTTGAGCTCTACGAGCACATGGTGCCATTCACCGTTATCCACGCATACCTGGGGAAAATCTAAGAGCGCCACTCGTCGGACTCCCAGAAACACCTGGAACCGAAGGTGTCTGTTGTTCACCTGGAAATACAAAATAAGAGGCTGAGAAAACTAATACAAGTCTCATTTATATGCTTTATTAAAGCAGGCCAATCATAGAAAACAGGATTAAATGGAGTGCATTACTGAAACACAATACTCACCATAAGACTAATCTTGGAAAAATCTCCAGCACTGGCCTGCAGTAAAACGCCTGTGCTTTTTCGGGTGCGAAACATAAGACCCATGTACCAGGGAATAGCGATGGTGATGTCGGTCTCGGTCCATGACACCAATGCGTGGCCATCGAAATGCAGGGAAGCAGGCATAACTGTAGAAAGAAGAGCATCAGACAATTTAGATGACATCCAGACTTTAGTCTGTTGAATTAAATAAATGCCACTTGATGCTTTGGCATTCCCTCCTGTCCTGAGGCACAAATAATCACTATTATTCACACACAGAGGAATGTTTCCCAGTCAACCAGGAGATTTCTTAATCAGGAATGTGAAATGTTCTTCCACACCAGTGTCTTCAGGGCAAATATTTTACTTTCTCTATATATGCGAGGGCTGAACTTATGGAAATAACAGTAGTATATCTTAGACCCAGCCCTGGGAGTGTGACAGTGATAGCAGTGATATTCATAGTTGGGCCTAGGGGTGGGCGATATGACCAAAATCTTTTATCACGATATGAGTGATTTTATTTCATGGTATCGATATATATCACAATATAGTTATTTTTGCTTTAAATATTGACTTCATGATCAAAATTTTTGATACCATAGGAATGTCAAAATTCTTGTCACCAGAGTCAGTATCACAAAAAAAAACTAATACTAGCCAAAATTTTAAACTGAGGACAAGTAAACAGTCAGCGATTAAACAAGAATAAGAAACAAATTACAAGCAATAGAACAAATAAATAAGAAATGCTACATACTGTACACTGTATAAAGTAATCAAATTAATAAAACTGCATATTCTTCACTTTGTAAATTAAGCATATATTTCTTCTTATCAAAGTTACAAAAGTGATTTAGTCAAGAATAGTGAGAGCTTTTCTCTCTTTTGTTGTTTGATTAACATGAATGACAGATAGCAGGAATATATTAGACTGCTGTCACTTTAAGAGCTGCCCGGATCCAATATACTGTTACATATGTTTTCTTTTTCAGCTGTTTGTTTTCACTTAAGACCTAAATTACTGTGTTTACAGTTTACAGGACACTTAAAAAGACATTTGACACATAAAAGTGTATAGGCCTATAAAGCGGCAAAATATTTGTCAAATTCAATACTCCCGCGCTCTATGAGCACCGTCTTCATGAGCGTGCGCCTCTTTGACAGCGCTCAGAAACAGTCTCTAAGACAGCATGCGCATATAGCGAAATTAATTCTCTTTCTCTGCTAATTGCTTTTCAATGGCTTAAAATCACTTGTTTTTAAACTGCAATGCTTAAAACGCATGCAAACGGTAAGTTTTCATGACCACAGCAACATCATATGCACGTGTAATAGAGACAATAGTCCAAAATCTTTATCGGTTGACAAATTTCTACCGGTTAATCGTGTCTACCATTATATTGTTATAATTTAGTTTCGGGGCAAACATGAGGGATTTAGATCTGCTTGCATTGGCAGTATTATGAATTTTATGTTCTTTTGAAGTCTCATAACATGGCATGGCTCCTCCATCCAATTGATAAGCAAAAATAATTAGAAAATGCGGGTTCATCCGGGTTTCCCTACAGGAAATTAGGTCAAACTAAGCTCACTGAAAATGTTAAGCCAGTTGCAATCCCATTCGCACTCTTAAATCTTAACTTACTGTTAAAAGATACTCTTTGTGATTATAATGCACTTACTCAAACAGGTTTAGAGTGGAAAAAGATTGTGACATATAACCTGTCATTTCCTGTAGATGGATAGAATGACAGAACGATAGACAGATAGACAGAACAACAGATAGATAGATAGACAGAACGATAGACAGATAGGCAGAACAACAGACAGACAGACAGATAGACAGAACAACAGATAGATAGATAGACAGAACGACAGACAGATAGGCAGAACAACAGACAGACAGACAGACAGATAGATAGATAGATAGATAGATAGATAGATAGATAGATAGATAGATAGATAGATAGATAGATAGATAGATAGATAGATAGATAACTGCTGAGTGCACTGGATTTGTTTACACATTGGTATTTCATGGAGGCCAAGGGCAAATCCGGGCAAAAGATGGGAGGCGTGTCAATGTGTATGTGTCCATTAAGCAAAATCAAGTCAAAGGAAGAATGATTTACAGAATAGAGTAGAAAGAGAGGATTATCTTACCATGTTCACAGTTCTTTCCTCCATAGCCTAATGGGCAGTTACAGGTGTGGGTGTTCCATCTATTCACACATACACCTCCATTCTGACAAACAACCTGGCTACAAAAGTCATGTTTTGCTGCACAACCTGAATAGAAAGGGAGAGCACACTTTAAATATTAGGGTTGGAGTCTGACACCTTAATGGAGAGTTCCAAAAGAAAGAAAGAAAAAAAACAGTGCTGTGAAAAATTCTCATTTAAAAAGGTCATATGCACATTTTTTCTATTGTTTATGAACAATTTTTGGGGAGGTTGAGAAGGAAGTTTTAAAAGTTAGAGTTTGTTTTTATAGTACTTCAAAATGAAGTATTAAAAAAATCAAGGAAGATTTGTCATGATATGAACCCAAGAGTTTCTAACCTGCTAAGGTGCCATTGTTGGCAATAAAACTGGCCATGTCTATGGGCTTGCTATCAATTGTCAGGTTCCTAATGCAGCCAACAAAGTCTCGGTTCTGTACAGTGAAATCCTCAGGGAGGTTTGGGACGCCACCCAGGAGCAGAGGTCCTGTTAGATCCAATGACCTGCAAACATACACACAGAAAGATCCCTGAAGCCACAAACAGTCCTAAACATTCTCCATTTTTAATGGCTTAACACATTCATAAGGTTCATGTGCGTGCAAACAAAAATATGTATAGTGTAGTATTATGAGTAAATATTATTAGTATCAATAATACTATTATAACACTATCATCATAAATAATGTGAACATTTTCCACACTATTCAAGTAAAACTGTTTCATGATGACTTTAAGAAAACATTTCTTCTTTTGGCATTCACAACTTTTGGCTTGTTTGGGTACCACGGGTCAAAACGGTTATAGAAATAAATAAACAAATAAATACATAAATATATATAACACATTGTTATGCTGTCTGTTTTTCAATAAAATAATAAAAAATGTTCCAGCTTTTTGCATTACTTGCCAGAAACAAAATGCAGTTAATGCCCTTCATAGCCAAATTTCTTTTAAAATACATTTTTATCCAGCAACATCTGGCAGAAGTGATCATATCCATCATATCTATCTATCATACATAGAAAGGCAGTCAGATTATTAGATTTCAAGGGTCTTGAAAAAAAGAGAGAGCCATTAGAAAATAAAATATGCAGAGCTATTAAAAGGAGTGTGTTTATTTAAGTTTTATCTAGAACATTATTTTGTTATTTCTGCTTTATTGTATCCAGATATGATGTGGTTTTGTATATCAGCATCTGGGCTTCACATTGTAGTGGACCACAGTGCATTTCATCAACAATTCATATCTTGATCCATAAATCCATGTAGATCTGTGGGTTTATAGGTCAGCACTTACTGCGAGCATATGGTCTGACCCCAGCAGTTGCATTTGAGAGGCTTTACAGACCATATCTCCACTTATCTCAGATGGATCTCCACCATCTCATACCGCTCTGTTCTCCACACACAGAGACAATTAGCCTACAATGGCAAATCCCAGCTGCAGATAAGCCGGAGTGTGGTTCCATTGTAAAGCCCATAAAACTGGTTTGACATGTGACAGAGTGCAGATTGGAGGAGATTAGGAAAAAAAGATGGAGCTGAGTGTAAGGGGAGTAGCAGAATGCTGTGTAATCTGTTGTAATGATCAGCTATTCAACACCCGACGGTAGTTAGCGTGCCTTCGTGCGCTCAAGTTCCCCGTCCTGTCACACTCTCTCTTTCAGTGAACAATATCATGCCCTGAGGACTTTAGACGGTGGAAACATGAATGAATGTGGGAGACGGAGAGAGTGTGAGAAGAAAGAAACAAATAGTGCAACTTGTTAGTCAGGGATCACAACAAACATCTTAAGCCAACATGAAATCACAAATGAGACTATTTACTTCCTTAATCAAAAGCAGTGTTTTGTGGGTTTTGCAACCCATTTTACCAAAACAGCATATAACGACACTGTAGGTACTGTCCCAACCAAACATTCTATGTCAAACGTTTGGCAATCTAGTCAACATGAAATTTCATATATTCAATAAATGGGGGTTTAGTAAATGTTTCCTCTTTTTTCAGGTTTTTAAAAGTTTTTTGCTATAAATAATTAAGTACATACATGAATAAATAAAAAGTAAGATTAGCATAAAGAATAAAGTATTATTAGTATTACTGATAATAAAATATATTAATATTATTAATACAGTAATAATAAAAATCATCATAAGAATAATATTTATTCATTCATTTGACTGAAATAGGATATTCAACAAGAAAAAAATAAGCAAGTAAGTAAATAAATAGTTTTTATTATCATCAATAATAATGGTTTTAATTTATATTATAAAAATTTTTAATTCTTGATAAATATAATTTTTCACTTTTATGTATGACATACTATACAAGTAAAAGTTGTAAAAAATGTTTTTACAAAAAGTTTTCCAGTCTTTATTTAGTTTTTATTTTTATTTTTTAGTTATTTGATAAAACAAATAAATAAACAATTGGTATTATTATTATTATCATAAATAATATATTTTTATCAACAATATATATATTTTTTAAATGTTGAATATACTGTTTCACTCTATAGTTCTATATAGAACTATAAAGGGATAGTTCACCCAAAAATGAAAATTCTGTCATTAATTGGAGAAGAATTGTTGAATAAAGTCGTTATTTTTTATAGCTTCATTAAATTACGGTTGAAGAGTTTTTGAATAAAGTTTTTATTTTTGTTGTCTGTGCACAAAAATTATTCTCGTAGCTTCATAAAATTAAGGTTTTAACCACTGATGTCACATGGACTATTTTTATGATATCCTTACTACCTTTCTGGGCCTGGAACGTGTCAGTTGCATTGCTGTCTATGGGAGCATAGACAGAAAGCTCTCGTATTTCATCAACAAATCTTAATTTATGTTTTGAAGATGTATTCTTGATAAATATAATTTTTCACTTTTATGTATGACATACTATACAAGTAAAAGTTGTAAAAAATGTTTTTACAAAAAGTTTTCCAGTCTTTATTTAGTTTTTATTTTTATTTTTTAGTTATTTGATAAAACAAATAAATAAACAATTGGTATTATTATTATTATCATAAATAATATATTTTTATCAACAATATATATATATTTTAAATGTTGAATATACTGTTTCACTCTATAGTTCTATATAGAACTATAAAGGGATAGTTCACCCAAAAATGAAAATTCTGTCATTAATTGGAGAAGAATTGTTGAATAAAGTCGTTATTTTTTATAGCTTCATTAAATTACGGTTGAAGAGAAGAGTTTTTGAATAAAGTTTTTATTTTTGTTGTCTGTGCACAAAAATTATTCTCGTAGCTTCATAAAATTAAGGTTTTAACCACTGATGTCACATGGACTATTTTTATGATATCCTTACTACCTTTCTGGGCCTTGAACGTGTCAGTTGCATTGCTGTCTATGGGAGCATAGACAGAAAGCTCTCGTATTTCATCAACAAATCTTAATTTATGTTTTGAAGATGAACGAAGGTTTTATGGATTTGGAAGGACATGAGGGACTAAAATGAAAAATTAAATAATTTGTAGTAATTAAAGACAGAATTTTCATTTTTGGGTGAACTATCCCTTTAAATATGCCACACAACAGAAGTAAAATAATATAAAAACCTAAAAAATAGGTTGTAAAAGCAATTTTATGTTGACTGTAGGAAAACACTTACTTCTTTTGGCCTGTTTGGGTGCCACGGGCTGCACAGCTGTAATTCCCAATCTGTCCCCCGAAACGCAGAGCCATGGCCACATCACACTCATCGACGGCAACCACAGCAACCTTTTCCTCAGAGGGGCCGTGAGGGATGCCAAGACGCCCTATATTGGGCTTGAATTGAAACAAGTGGAAATAAACAACTCTGATTCAATGATTTTGATTACTGCTAAAATGTGATGGTACTTTTTTTTTTTTATCTGACAGAAAAAAAATAAAAGTAAAATAAATATTTTATAGTAGGTCTAGTACAAAAAATGTTATTCAGAGTATCATTATTTTTGCTTTTATATTGATATGTTTTTTTTTTAAACCCTAAAGTAATGTAAGGAAGATCACACATATGTCACCATTAATTCTTTGTTTTAAATCTTCTTCTTACATCCTGGCTAAAAGTCCCAAAGTTTGTGTATCTGAATAGCATTTCCATTCACCCCTTTTGTGAGTTTGGAGATAATAGGTCTTGTTTGTCTGTAATCTTTAACACACAGCATGAGATGACTGTTTACCACTCGGTGACATTCTGTGGCTTTCTCAGCTCATCTAATTGGATTATGCCACAGAGATGCTGGCACAGAGGAGATACCAGACAAAGAGAGCTCATCATTTCATGTAAAACCTCCCCAGAGACCCAAACTGTTTCCACAACACAGCCAAAATTTGTATTATCATCTGGCAACACCCTTCCCCCACACAAGAGTTTTTTCAAATGTTCTCAGCTCGTATGATGTGCTGAGTTGCTCTTTGATGTCTGCCCTGTGGTGTTAAAAAATATCCAAGTGACAGTTTGGTGTGATGTGAACATCACTCGCTCCTAAAGACAGTTCATTACACCACTGCGGTCACTATTCATTCTCGGATGTCTACAGAACAGAATTATCTGTGTAGAAAGAGAGTGTAAGCAGAATAATATTCATAAAGTGTTTGTCAAATTATTACATAATGATAATAATAATAGCAACAATCATTTATTGTTGTTATTATTATTATTGAGTGTTGCTGTCTATAAATCAAAGGGATAATTAAATAAATAATAAATGAATGTTAATTTATAAACTTTGCATAATAATCCTAATAATAATAATAATAATTATTATTATTATTTTTAGTGCTGCTGTCAATAAACAAAGGGATAATTAAAATATGTAAATAATAAATAAATGTTAATACTTCTATTCAACTTTACATATCAATAATACAATAATAAAGTAACTAACTAAATACATGAAATAAAAAAAATAATGTAATATTATATATTGAAACTACGAGGGTGCTCTGACTGTTTCTTTTCTCCTTTACTAACTTTTTACAAAAAATTCACACATTCATAAATTAGATGGCAGTTTTAATATTCCTCTCAGTTTCTGCCAGACAGCAGAGATGAATAAGGCAATGTGAGTAGACTGCTAAACTGGTCAACAAGGAAAGCCATGAATGGGAGCATTCCTACACACTGACGCACGTGTCGTGGAATAAATCCAACTGGTCAAGGCCTGAAGCCAACTGTTCAGGCAACATCAGTCATATAACTTTAAAAATTGTGTGAAAACCTGGTGAAAAAAAATGGTTTGAGACGCTTTTTGACAGACCGAATACCATCCAAATATCAAGTTTCTACTGCCATTAAAGTGCTTGTACGTCTCTATTACAATTTTCATCAGGTGCACAACAATCTGTAAAGGAAAAAATATTATGAAAAGAAAACTTAAAAAAAAATCGTAACGCCATGATGATCCCACAATCTCTCTTGTCTCGAGTCCACTGATGAAAATGAACTCAATGACAAGCTCAATGCCCTCAGGAACACACATGCACACAAATCCTGACAACAGCTATTAACCCCCAACCTTGTAACTCATCAGCCTTTTTGTTTCAAAGTTCAAAACAATAGTTAATAGATCCTGGGGCCTACACGTGAGTTTTTTTCCCCTTTCCAAATGTATTATTATAAGGCAGAAAATGTATGTTCTGTTTGGGGTCAATGAAACCCAAAATACATAGTAATAGCTTAACATACTTGACTGTTCTTTAATGATTTTTCTCAATCTTAGGAGAACTGACTATAAACAAATTTTGATATCACGCTTCGTACGTGATAATTGAATCACCCCTAAATACAACACATGTATATACTGTAAATTCAATGACTTTTCACATGCTGTTACTGGTGTACAAAGTGTAGAAATAAACTGTTGCCAATTGATTAGTTGATTAGTTTTCTCGTTTAATTATTTTTTTCTACCATGTGGATTTGCCAAGGTCAAATTTATCCCAAACAGAAGCAAATAAGCAAATTAGCATATGTGAATGATTTCTGAAGGATCATGTGACACTGAAGACTGCAGTAATGATTCTGAAAATTCAGCTTTGCATCACAGGAATAAATTACATTGTATAATCATTTAAAATAGAAAACAGTCTTTTTAAATAGTAATAATATTTCACAATAATATTGATTTTAAATGTATTTTTGATCACTTCAGTTAAGTCTTGGTGAACAGAAGAGACTTCAAAAACAGATTAAAAATAGGGAAAAAAGGTTTTTAAAAAATATTATTATTTTTACACGTACATCATTTAGGTCTCTGTGATTTCAAAGATAAAAACAGTCAGTCTCAACAAACTATTAGGTTTAAAACACTGCCAAACTGTGAATTAATGCAATGTTTTTTCATCATCAAAGGATTGTTTGTAAAAATTACATTAGGTCGCCACTAGCTGGGACACTTTAAAGTGAGGAGACCTGACTCTTCAAAGCATCACTGCATTACAGCTGCATCCCATTGTGTTTGCTTATTATTACTCAAGGTAAATATCTGAAAGTGTATTCAAAAACATTTGAGTCCACTGACAAAATAATACACAGAACAAGCAAAATAAAATCAAAGATCAATGGGGAAAGCAAAAGATCAATGGGGTCAAACAGAAGTGATTTACATAGTTTTTGAGTCACCATTTCACAATTGCTTAGCAATTAAATCTTGTTAGAAATTTTTGAATGTCAAAATAGAGATAGATTTTGGTAGAAGATGAGAGATGGATTTCCGTACTTCACCACAACCTTACCATATGGACGAGGCTCCAGATGGAGCAAAACTTCATGAAATAATAAAGCATATTCTGGAGATTTCCAATAATAGGCTGGAGCGTTTTTATGTTCAAGTGCAACAGAAAAAACGTGTGCCATCTGGCGCTTTTAAAAACTCAGAGTGCGTTATTGTAGTCCCGGATTAACTCAACAGGGGATGTGCTATTGTCTGCGTTCCCCATCGGACTATATTGAACTTGGACTCTTTAAGTGACGGGTTAAGGGGGAGCTACGGGCACAATGGAGCAAACACGACATACGCATTGAATCTCAATAGACGGCTTTAGGGTCTGATTTTTCATTCATGTTTACAAGTATAAACGGTGCTCCAATCCAATAATGCACTCGCTAACTTACATGCTACATTATATTAGATACATTCTGGTTGCAGCCACTGGTATTAATGACTTTCTTTTTGAACTTTTTTAGCCTTCCATCAGTTTAGTGCAACTTGTGTAAATGTAAAAAAAAATTTAAAGAAAATATGGACCCTCAAAAACAGAAACCCACAGCACGCTAACTGTCATCCCTCCAAGAGATTTCAGTGAGATTTTCTAAAGCTTCACTATGATTCAGGAATTCAGGAATACTGTGACAGACTCAGCTATGTTCTTTATGAACAAATACTGTTTTAAAGTTAGGCAGCATGGAAATAAGGTTACTAAAAGGTCACTAAGGAACATAAGAAGGGTCGATGAAAGCTTAATGTATTCAAGCAGAATGAATTGCCCGTGCAACTACAATATGGTGAGGTATTTGCAATTGAGCGACAACAAACAACAAAACACTCAAGAACTATTTGTTTCAAAACACGAAGAACAAGAATTTAATACCGTATTAAATAATACTAACACTATGGGTTACAAAATACTCTTAAAAACAAGACGCTGTGTAATGAGATGCCTGGGTCACAGAATAAACGCACTTAGCTTTTGGCCATGAAACATGACACATGACGTATTACACATGCACCAAACTTCATAAATGCTGCATCTCAGCAACTCACTGAAATATGAGGGTCTGAAAACTGAACGGGATCAAAGAAGCAGAAATACAAGCTGTTTCTTTTGACTGCAGTTCTTAGAAGATGCTGTGAACTTTGATACAGCTAGAGATGCCGCTGATATCACGTGTCTTCTTTCATGAAATATGGACACACTGATCTCATCAAGAAACGCTACTTGTGAGGCTCTGACTTTCTCTAGCATTGGAATAATAATTTGACTGAAGTGCAAATAAAATGATAATGGACTTTAACTGGGTAAAAAAAAATTAGTGGTGATTTTAGCACACATTTCTAATATTCTACCTGATTTGACCTAAAATAATTATTTTGTTAACATATCCTAATGTAAATTATATTTCAATAACCTAAATAATACCAGTTTTAAAACCAAATTAAGCATTTTACACACTTATTCATGAAGCACAGACAGAAAAATTAGTGTAAATTGTTTGTAAAGCTATTAGTACAGAAAGTGCTGTCATATTCAATCCAATTCGTGAAAGATTTAAACTAATTTCATGATTTCATGAATGAGCCCCATTGGTTTTCCTTCACTGACCTTCCAACCAGCCTCCATTCTTATTGTGTTCAGTACAAATGACTTACCTTGTTGTAGTAATGTAGATGTACTCTGTGCCATTTTCCATCACTAACCCCACCAGCTACAAATGGAGTCACTGTGGTTTTAGTTTCTCCTAAAAAGAAATAACAAGAAAGAAGAAACCAGTTTTGCTGAAATTCAAGAAAGAGTAATTCTGCTAGTGATAACTGGATAAGGAAAAAATGTTTTTAACATGTATAATATATATTTTCATGACAACAAAATGAATATGAATACACAATAATATTTATATAAGTATTAAATAAGTTCTAAATACTACATACTGTATATATAGTTTAACACAAACAAATTAATTGGCTCCAAAGCACCTTGAGGATTTTAATTTGTGTGGCATTTTTCTAGTCAACTGGACAAAATAAGTAAATCATTATCGAGGAGATAATAGTGTGCCAGGACCTCCCATGACAGCACTTTCCCTCAGTGCATACAATGTCAAATATCTTAGTTGTTTATATCGCTCTCCAACTCAATTATGTTGAGTGATGGCTAGTAAGCTGGGACAGACCTTTGACCTATGAGGGTTCATAATTTACCAGAATCGCTGTGTTGTTTGATGTTTTACATTCCAGGACAGTGGAGGAAATGCCTTTCACTGTCTTTATTCTCAGCTCATGTGGACGGGTGACCCTCAGTGTTGTTGTAAGACGTAACAAGCATCTGTTTATACTAAGACGCTCTAGGGATGAATTCCACTGTCGTATTTCCTTTGGAAACAATTCTGACCCATTAAAGAGACGGGACATGGTATTTCACACTCACTGACTGGACAGTAACTCTTGTTGATGTGTGAGGTTTGACAAAACAAAGGAACAGGTAGACAGAGGAAGTGTGTTTTAATGCTCTTTGGCCACCTGTTTCCTTTGGCACAGCTCTGGATACATCTATACGCACTTATGTTTGAGATATGACACTCAAAAAAGGAGCTTTTTTCCGATTCAAATCTGACTAAAACCCATTTAGTTGTTTGCAGTTTGAGCAGACAAAAACAAAATGAAAAAAGAAAAAAAAAATGAAATGAGACAAAGCAACACAAAATGAAACAAAAACAAACACATTTTGCAAAAACACAAATTAAAATAGTTTTTTTACAAATTTGATTCAAAAATATGTAGTTTATTCAATTTTTTAAATACATGTGACTGCAATAAGGGTAATATCATTAAAACATATTTTATTGGTTTCTTAATTTTTTTTTTTATTAAACAAAAGCACTGGGTACTGTTCTTAAAATGTAAATTATTATTTGAAATTTTATATTTTTAAATTTTATATTCAAACTAAAATGAATTGTCTTACTTACCAGCAGAGAAGGTCAGCTGGATTTGCTCTTCAATAATTTCAATCGCAATGAAATCATGCCTTTCATTAAACCTGCCATTATATAGGAGCAGGGCGTTTCTCTCCCTGGTAGCAAACCTATGAAAAAAATAAACAAATTAATAAAACCTTAATGAAGACCATAATAAGCTTGTTCAATTCAAAGTGTAAATTAGGATCCACAGGTCATTTAAAAAAAGTTTCATAAATTAGTTTTAATCATGTTTTACACCGGATTTATCATATTTTAATCAGACATTCCATTTGAATGAATATTCATTTCAGATCCACAGATCAAGAGCAGGAAAAAAAAGCTCAGGAGCGTCCTAAGATCACTCACAACACAAACATGCAGGCTTGACAGAAGAATAAAAAAAGATAGGGAGTGGAGGAAAAGGAAGTGATAAAACCTGCCAAGAGACACAGCTAGAGGTAATGGACGGGGGAAACTGATACTCTGATGTTTGCCAACCTCTGGTATCTCAGTTGGCCCTGTGGTGCGGGCACCTGGGATTTTTGCAGGGAGAGGTGTCAGATAGCACATGGCAAAGGGGCACATTCACAGGAAGTTTGAACAAAGATGCCTCACCACACGCGGCATCCTGTTTTCATGTTTGCCATGAGAAGAACTTGTGTGGTTGATATGCGACGGTGTCTAATTTGCTAGATCGGTTACATGGTAATTAATAAATGCCATAATGGGAAAGTGAGGAGACTTTGAGAAGGTTAAACAGGTGTTTATCTGTACAATTTTTTATTTCTTTTTTTGCAGGACATTTTTCCAGGATACAACTTGTATGAGAATTAGATGTAATTAACTAAGTGTGACATAAAAAAATATATAAAATGAAATAAAACTATTTAAAAATAAAAAATATGATTAATTAAAAAAACTAAACTGAAACTATCAAATCCTAAAAACAAAAAGTAAACATTAAAACATTTAAAAATACTATTATATAGAAAAGCATTATTTTTATTCATACAATCGATAATTTTATTGATTATTCATTGAGATCTTTTTAAAAAATATATCATTAATTAATTAATTAATTAGTATTAGTCTATTATTTATTTAGTATAAGAGCTTTTTATTTTAATAGTTCTTATATATATATATATATATATATATATATATATATATATAAATTATTAAAACAGAAATACTTAATTATTATTAAGATATTTTTATTTTAATACTTAAAATAATAAGATTTGAAAATGCTAAATAATAACCCTCAGAAAAGAAACACTGTTGACAGGAGTGCATGGATGGATGGATGGATGGATGGATGGATGGGTGGATGTATAAACTGATGGATGGAGTAACTCTAGATGGTTTACTCACGTAAAGGAGAGGGTGAAGTGAAATCTCTGCCTCAGGCCTCTGAAGGTGATGAAGGACTGGCCAGGGAAGCTGCGTGTGGTCATCTCGCAGTAGGGCTTCTCATACTCGCCGTCAGGACACTGGCACAGGAAACCTCCCACCAGCAGGTCCACACACCTGCCACCGTTCTTACACACACCAGGAACACACCGGCCTGAACGTGCATTCACCTCACAGCGCTCTCCTGAAAAGAAAATACCCAAGATTTTACCAATCTGAAAAACCTTTTTCCATTATAAATTTCCTTATTGTGCAATGGAAATGTTTTATGGATGTTAAAGGTTCTTCATGGAACCATCAATGCCAGAACCTGTATTTTCAAGAATATAAAAAACCCTCATTTTCTATTTTATTATTCTCCAGCCATGCAAAATGAGGTAATAAACCCACATTTCATGCATCCACTGACACATAATAAGTGCAATTCATCCGTGGAACTCAATTTCTGATAATAATTGGAAACTTGTTCTCTTAACCCAATCACTTGAGTGAGCTTAGTTTTAGTCCCGACAGGACAATGGCTTCCAGTTCTGTCTAAATGAGAAGGCTTCAGAGAGACCATTGAGCCGCATGCTTAGTGATTCTGTGCTCATTGACCCAGACTAACCTTTGTTCATACTCTAAAGAAACAGGACCACTGCCAAGCAATGGAAGAACAATGAAAGAGCCCTGGTGGTCTGTAAGACACCTGTTATGCTCCGCTAGGCTCTTGTAATGTGACATGAGATGTGGGGTGAACCGATGACGACTCGCTATTGGAAGATGCCGCTAGCAAAGTGACATCATTCACATTGTTACAGGTAGATGTTTGCCAGAGGGCTCCTTTGATATTTATCACAATATACAATTCTGAGACTGAGTTTAGGGCATTTGATCAAATTAAGATATAATTCAAGAAGTAAGACTGCTTTGCTTTATATTGCAAAGTTGGTCAACTGAACCTGATAATCTTGTTTCCTGAGTGTTTTTTTTAGCCCTGTTTTCATATATGTGTCTTGGTATGTGTGTACAGGGTCCAAAAATTTATTTTTGCCACACCTGTTGACAGCAGATGAAATAAAAATATAAATAATAGTTAATAATTAATAATAATAGTTAATGATAATAATAATAATAATACACATAATTGCAATTCAATTTGGAATGTAAAGTATAATTAAAAATAATTGAAATTAAAAAAATTCTATAATCATACCAGAATTATTGGAATCAGTTTTACCAGAATAATTTTTAACAAAACAAGAAAAGTTTGTCAAGATAGATCGACAGATAGATAGATGCTAAATAAATATTGCTGAACCATATTTTGCATTAAAATATATTGTTAATTTAAAAAAAGATTTATAGCATATTTGTGGAAAATTGTGCATGACTGTTTCATCTACAGCTTCATACATATACATACAAAACATTAATTGACACATTATGATTTTGTTCTACATTTTTTAATTTTAGTAGCTTACTGTGAGTATTTCATATGATTCACCACATTCAAACTTCCTAAAATAAACAGGATCCAGAAATAAACCTCTGAGGACAAACTTTCCACTGATGTAAAAGTTGTTAGAATGAGCAGTTTGTATGTCTTAGATCATATACCCATTTATAACTGTTTATTTTACTCGCCACAGTCAATTTTTACTTATATTAGTCACTTTCTATGTGTTATTTTGGACCCTGTGTGTGTGTATCTAGACGTGTGTGGTTTGCTTTCACCTGAGATGGACATATCCGCACAGGACACAGAAACATGCCGATAACAATCTCCCCCAAAATCCATCAGCATGCTGACAAACGCAGTAGCCTCAGAACAAACATCTGAGGTTTGCCTGGAGGACTTTACCTTGTTGGACTTGTAATCCTGTATCTCTGATTCCTGGCCAGCTCGGTGTGCGCACCATTGAGTACCTGCCATTAACTTGACAAGATCTGGGCCCAGAGGAACTATGTCGACTGGGACACACAAAAGAGGTTCCAAAGAGGTAATGATCTAAATGTCGGTCAGATAATCCCTCATTTCGGAGGAATTACAGGGATACATTACTCTGTAATGAGAGAAACCCATGAGAGGAACAACAGAGGCCACTGTCAACACCTCTAGTTATGACCACATACTACCTGAGGGCTCAAGAGGGCAGAGGTTCACTACTCTTTACTGTAGTCCAGAAACCTGAGCTGACAAACAGACAGAAGCTGTCAAAGTGAATGATCCAGTGCGGGAACTCTGAACCTTGGGACTGAGAGTCTGGATGCCATTCCTCCTGTCAAACTTACACAGGATAATTCCTTCCCCCAAGAGCAGATCTCCATTCAAGTTATGACAGAAGCAAAACTAATGACGCTCTCACGAGTCTGAGCAACTTAGAAGGGAACAATTTGCAACCAATTTGCAATCAACTATCCATACAAAACACACACAAAAAAAGTTTTTTTTTTTGCTGTAGCATACATCACTATTAGTTCACTATTGCTTGGAATTAGGTTAGGGATGTGAAGAAACCACTATCTGTCAGCAACTTTTTTGACACAACACCTCAAATCATGCCATTTTAGAAAAAGTGTGGTATTACTTTTCTTGCAATTTTCAATTGGCCAATAATGAATTGGGTATAGAAGTGTGTGCCATGTAGACCTGAATTGAGAATGCTGTTGAAATCTGCATTCACTTCCTAATTTTGAACGATAGACGGATGGACAGACAGACAGAAGGATGTACGGACAGATGGACGGATGGATGGACACATGGACCTACAGATAGTCCGACAGATGGATGGACGGGCGGATAGATGAACAGACCGATTCATAGACAGATACATAGACGGACACAAAAATATAGATGGATAGATGGACAGAAGGACGGATGGATGGACAGACAGACAGACAGACAGACAGACAGACAGACAGATAGATGGATAGACAGACAGACAGATACATAGACAGACATTTAAAAGGATGAATGGATGAATGGACAGACAGACAGACAGACAGATAGATGGATAGACAAATACATATATAAACAGATGGTTGAACGGACAGATAGATAGATAGATAGATAGATTACCAGATACTGACCTGTAAAATCTTGCGGGCACTCACAGGTGTATCCCCCCTCTCGACTGCGGCACTTCCCGTTGTTCTGACATGGGCCTGAGTAACAAAGGTCCACCTCTGTCTCACAGTAGTCTCCAGTGAAACCGTCAGGACATCGACAGCGTAACCCGTTCATGGGGTGTATGGGCCTGAAGAGAACTGTGTTGGACGCCACGAAGGGAGCCGTACTGTCAAACTTCAGAACAGCTACGCACTTCATGTAGTTCTCACAGGGCTCCCGCAAACAGATATTATCATCAAACGGCAGGACGCGCTGAGTCGAGATCAACGTCAACAACGTACGGTTCAGATACAGCTGCTCCTGCAGCTCCTCTGACGGGAAATAACGTCCCGGAGCTCCACCCGGGAGCAGGGCCGAGAAAGTGACGTTGACAATGCTGCCGCTAACGTCTGTGTCATTTTGGACATTGAAGACGAAGACACCGTCAGGACTGGTGGACAAGACTGCGGCTACGCCTTCAGTAAAGAGAGACAGCAGAGGGGAGAGGAAACGCTCTTGAGACATGTTCTCCAGACGAACGGTGATGCTGTTCGTCAACATGTCGTCCGTTATGGTGGTCACCCGTAGGGTGCAGAGGGCCGAGACCTGGTGGAGTCCATCTGTGAAGACACAAAGGCACATTGAGAGACTCAGTTAATGTTTAAACTGAATTGAATGGCATGGCAGGGGCTGGCAGGTGGTAAGTTTACATTCTTGTGGGTAAGATGAACTTTGAGAACATGCTGGAACATGAAGTTTAATTCTGTGATTGTTCACCAAGCATTTCGACCTTCACAGTTTTATCATCTTTTTTTTCAAACTGTTTGAACAGCAATACAACCAGCTTCCTTACAAGCAATACATCAACTGTGAACACAAAAAGAAAAATTTGGTGTGGAGAGGTGCTGAATATCTGTTGTATTTTTTTTAACAGGGAAAATATGAATATATTATTCACATACTTATTTGAATTTAAAGTTTATTACAATCAACATTATTATTATTAATAACAAGTTCACCAATGTTTAAATGAATTAATAAATGTTTACCATTAACATTGGTTTTAATATTATAATTTTTTTACAAGTATAAATATGAATAGATAATTCTGATACTTATTTGAATACAAGTATATTTTTAATATTCCTGAAACATATTGCAAAAAATAAAACTGTATTATTATTACTACTACTACTACTAATAATATAACATGATGATGATGGTGTATTATTATTATTATTATTTAAATAAAAGTGTATTATTATTACTACTAATAATAATAATATACAATTATGATGATAAATAAATAAATAAACTGTTTATTTATTTATTATTTATAGACACATACATACATATTATTTGTATACAAGTATTTTTTTTATATGTGACCAAATAAAAAAAAAAAATTACTAGTGTGGGAGTGTGACACGTGGCCAAGTATGGTGACCATACTCGGAATTAGTGCTCTGCATTTACCCAGCCAAAGTGCACAAACACAGCAGTGAACACACACAAACCGTGAACACACACCCGGAGCAGTGAGCAGCCATTTATAAAAAGTGTTCAACAAACAGATCATTCTCAAAGTTGTCCCACACATAATAAATCGCCCTACAGGTGTGATCTTGGATCCCCTCCAGGAAACAGCTTGCACAAAAGAATGATAAGACTCCAAGATCTGTCTATACGATCAAATAGGAATCGCTGTGTTAATACAAATATTGTACACAAGTGTGGGTGGTCCAAAGGAGAAACTTTACCAACTGATTCCAGAGTTTGCTGAACAAGAAAACAAAGCGAAACACTGTACGTTTTAATGGAAAAGTGGCCTAGATACCACTGCGCCACAGGAAGCTCAGCTTCATCGAATCCCTCAAAACTGATGGTGGAGATTATGACACTAGCAAAGTAAACTAGGTTGAAATGTTCACAGTTTCACTTGCCAACACACTCCTTTGCAGGACCACTGAGCTGTGACAATGTTTACAGCCTCTGCAAAGAGCAAGTGTCATGTTCAGTTTTCTTTTCGAACAATCTGAGAACGAAGGCAAACACAGAGGGCAGCTTTTCGGGACGGAGTTTTCTGAGGGACGAAGCCAAACAATCTGTGCAAAGATAAATGCTCAGTGTAGTTTACACACTCACAGGTGCTGGCCTGCAAACGAACACACAGTGGGAAATTTAGAGGTTATCATCTAAGTGTTAAACTGTCCTATAGATAATGCCAATCTGGCAACTGGTAACCAACCATGTAGATAGCATGAATCAAAGATTTGAGTCTAAGGCCTCTTTCATCAAAATCTGCACAAAATCGTGAGATTGTATGATATCATGCCATCTCGTACAATTTACTGTGATTTTTCATGAGAACAAGTTGCCTATTTACAGCAAGAGTGATGCGTCAAAGAAACCATTCTTCATACCAAATAAATTTTTTTAAGATATTTACTTAAAACTAATTCTAGCATATTTTAATAAACAATAATAATATTCATATATTTTTTATTTTAAGTGATGAGATGTGAGCAGCAGTGAAGATGTTTTTTTTTTTATCAAATAACACTTAGTGCTGGGTTTAATGCATTACTAAGTATTTAGTAACTCTAATTTAATTAATTTTCCCTTGAAAAAGTAACTCTTAATTTTTCTGTAATTTAATAACAATTACTTCTGATGTAATTGCATTAAATGCTGTATAGACTATAGAACAATTCTTTATTAAAAACAATACTGGATTTAACATTAACATTTTACATTTAATGTTAAAATGTATGTTTTTAATGTCACTTTCTCCCTTTAAATACTTTGGTCAGTTCAAGACTAATTTAGCATTAAATAAATGCTAATCTAAAATAAATGTTTTTGTGTATATATGTGTGTGTACTGTGTATATTTATTATGTATATATAAATACACACACATGCATGTATATATTTAAGAAAAATGTTATGTTTATATTTTAAATATTTAAATATTTTTATATATTTAATATAAATTATATGAATATAAATATATACATATAAATATTTTCAAACACACACAATTATATTATATAATCAAAAACCTTTATTTTGGAAGTGATTAATCACGATTAATCGTTGCCCAGCACTAATTTTATATTATTATTTGAAAGAATTAAAAGAGCAGTTTCATGTCTATCCTTGGTCAAGGCTGATATAGGATTTAGAAAGTATAAGTAATAAACAATGCAATACATTTTAAAGAGAGTAATTAGTACAATAATCTAATTACACTGTTGAAGATATAATTAGTAGGCACAGGCAGTAATTAATTACTTTATAGAGTAACTTACCTAACACTGACAACAATTCTGATTTAATCAAATAGAGTTCAAATAAACAGACTACTGGACGACTTTTATAGTTGATTTGATGGAAAACACCAATGAGAACATTCTGCTAAACCTCTTCTTTTGTGTTCCATGGAAGAAAGAAAGCCATACGGGTTTGGATCAGCATGAGGGTGCATAAATAATGACAGAATTGCCATTTATAGATGATCTAATGCTTTAAATATGGAGTATCGCGGGGTGAGAATACAAAGCCCAGAATACAAACACACCAGACTTATTTTTCTCTTTTCAGTCATCTATCCTTAAACACTCCTCAAGAAGCATGTGGGAACATATATTTGGACAGCTGATTGGCAGTTGATTGGCAGTTGGCTAGTGCAACAGTAGCAGAGACTGACAAAAAGCTCCTGCCAAAGCATCATTTAGCCAATGCCAAGACACATGTCCTGCTTCACCAGCAGTGGCCACAGCAACATCACGGCTGATGGCTGACCTAAATATGTGCGAAGCCGAGCCAACTGGTGCCCAGCACACAATAGGCACAGCTGAAAGAGACGGGCTACTGAGTGCACAAGGCATTGAGGGCAGGGACTCAAATCCCATTTCCATCACATAAGAAAATATACTAAATCATAATTACGAGATAAAAAGTCAAAATTATGAGATACTAACTATGAATTATAATATAAAAAGTTGACATTTATATAAAAAGTAGAAACTGAGATTGACATAACTCATAATTATGACAAAAGTTAAAATTACATAAAAAGTCAAATTATTAAGTCAAAACTGTAAATCATAATTATGAGATGAATTTAATGACATGTTAAGTCATAAGTATGAGATAAAAAGACACATTTCTTTGAATGTGTATGCATATTTGAAAATATGTCATAATGAGAAAAAAAAGTCTAAACTGAGATATTTAGTCATAATTATTAAATTAAGTCTAAATTGCGATATTTAGTCATAATGAGATTCAAATTCTGACAAAAAGTTATGACATACCAAGTCAGAGTTATAATATAAAAGTTTAAATGATGATATATAAAAAGTCCAAATTGAGAAAAATGTAAAATGATGATATAAAAAGTTAAAATTAGATATTTAGTCATAATAATTTAGATAAAAATTTCAAGATAATGACATACAGATTATGATTATGATCACATATTATGAATTCTACTATAAAAGTTGAAATTTTTATATAAAATGTCTAAATTGGGATAAAGTCTACAAGTCAAAATTATTGCAAAACATTAAAACTAAATCATAATTATGAGAAAAAAAGTCTAAATTATGACATACTAAGTATGAATTATATTATAAAAAGCTGAAATTTATATAAAAAGTAGAAACTGAGATTGACATAACTCGTAATTATGACAAAAAAGTTACAATTGCATAAAAAGTCAATTTATTAAGAGTCAAAACTGTGAATCATAATTATGAGATGAATTTTATGACGTTAAGTCATAAGTATGAGATAAAAAGACAATTTTCTTATATAAAAAGTTGAAAATATGTCATAATGAGCAAAAAAAAAAGTCTAAATTGAGATATTTAGTCATAATTATTAAATAATGTCTAAATTACGATATTTGGCCATAATGAGATAAAAATTCTAACATATAAAGTTATGACATACCAAGTCAGAGTTATAATATAAAAGTTTAAATTATGATATAAAAAGTCCAAATTGAGAAAAATGTTAAATTATTATATAAAAAGTTAAAATTAGATATTTAGTCATAATAATTGAGATAAAAATGTCAAGATTATGACATACAGATTATGATTATGATCACATATTATGAATTCTACTATAAGTTGAAATTTTGATATAAAATTTCTAAATTGGGATAAAGTCCACAAATCAAAATTATTGCAAAACATTAAAACTGTAAATCAAAATGATCACATATCAAATTATAATTATATAAAAAGTAAAAAATATGATATAAAAAGTTTCAAGTATGAGATAAAATCATACTGGTGAGATAAAAGTGTTGAAATTAAGAAATATTTAGTCATAATTATGAGATATGTAAAAGACAAAATTATTACATACTAAATCAGAATTATAATTTTAAAGTTGAAATTGAGATAAAGTCATAATCAGAACAAAAAGTCAAAATTCCGACATAAAAAGTCAAAACTATGACACAGTAAGTCATAATTCTGAGGCAAAAATCTCTAAAACTTTTGATAATTAATATGGTGCAAATATATTGTGCATCCTTATTGTAAACACAAAGTTTGTTCATTTCTTAAAGATGCCACATTAACATTCTATGTTGCTGAAAT